CATCGAGAACCAGATGTTACAAGTTCTTACAGACACCAACATTACCATGTTTTATCTGAACAAAGAGGGAGGTGCAAGATCACCTCATCTGTGCCAGGAGTCTGTCATCCTATGTAATTTGTGCATTTGTCCCAAAGTTTCCAGAAGGTCTTTCACCTTCCAGGAGTGAGAAATACGGAAGTGGATATCCTTGGCAGGGTTTTCATAGACCAGGGATCAGCAACCTTTGGCACATGGCCCGCCAGGCAGGCCAGGCCGGTTTGTTTACCTGCCATATCTGCAGGTTTGGCCAATCGTGGCTCCCACTGGCTGCAGTTCGCCGCTCCAGGACAATGGGGGAAGCAGCGCGGGCCAAGGGCTTTGCTGGCCGCCCCTTCCTGCAGCCCCCATTGGCCTCAAACAGTGAACCGGGGCCAGTGGGAGCTGCCATCAGCCGAACCTGTTGATGTGACAGATAAACCAGCCCGGCCTGCCAGGGGGCTTACCCTGGTAGCCCATGTGCCACAGGTTGCCGATCCCTGTCATAGACCAACAGGATTGAGCAATTAGGAAGGATGTTCTCCAGATTTTTCCATTGCTGGGGGTACCTAGTATTGGACTTGTTCACAATCAACCTGAACAAGTGCATGAGATTTTACTCCAGGGCTGCAGCCCACATTCCATCACAGATGCCTTTCTTCTTCCATTGTCCAGTCATCTCCTATATTCATTTCTTCAACTCTTCTACCTTGCATTCCCTTGTTCCCCCCCCCTCCCCCCGCCCGATGTTCTTGTTAAACCCTGGATTTGTGCTGGAAATGTCCACCTTGATTATCTTACACATTGTAAGGAGAGTGATCACTTTAGATAAGCTATTACCAGCAGGAGAGTGGAGTAGGGGGAGGTATTTTTTCATGCTTTGTGTGTATAAAAAGATCTTCTACACTTTCCACAGTATGCATCCGATGAAGTGAGCTGTAGCTCACGAAAGCTTATGCTCAAATAAATTGGTTAGTCTCTAAGGTGCCACAAGTACTCCTTTTCTTTTTGCGAATACAGACTAACACGGCTGTTACTCTGAAACCTGCCCCTGTATGTATATGGGATTTAAATCTGGTCCTCTCCAAATTCATAGATGGCCCCCTTTTTGACCCTATGGCTATAACTTAATTCTTTGTCTAAGACAACGAGAGTTTTTTGTGACAATCACTTCTGCAAGGAGAGTTTTAGGACATAAGGCTCTAACTGACCTTCCTTTTGCAGTCTTCCATAAGGATAAGGTTTCCCTTTGGCCACATCCTAAGTTTGTCTAGGGTTAGGGTTAGAGTCAACTTTCTATCAAAACCAAGCATTTAATCGGTTGGTGTTTTTCCCAAAACCCCATTAATCTAAAGCTGAGAACATTTTTTTTATACTTGGGATGTTCGTAGGGCTCTGGCATTCTACTTGAACTGCACTGGAGCATTCAGAACTTCCCCCAGGTTTTATGTAGCCTATGCTGGCAGAACTAAGGGTCAATCAGTGTCCTTTTCAGCAAATCTCACACTGGGTTTTTGACTGCATTAAAATTTGCTACAATCTTGCTAAAGTCTCTCCTACACAGAGAATAACTGCTCCACAGGGCTGTACACTTCATTACAAAGTGAGCAAAGTTCCAGTAGATGGTGTACTCAAGGCAGCGACATGGCTGTCTGTGTGTACCTTTTCCACTCTATGCCATTGCGATGGACTTTCCGGAGATATAACCTGGAACTGGGGTACCGCTGTGCCCTCTGGCATACTAATCTGGACGCTCTCTCACACTGTGAAGCTGTGACCACCTGCAGACTGTTCCCAGACCTGCACTCATACAAACACTTACAAAGGCAGGGACACACCCTGCTTCAGTTACATTAATGCTACTCCTCAGCCACTAATGCACTAACAATAGAGAGGCTCCAGCCAGCTCCACTTCACAGCCTAGGACCCCCAGCGCTTGCCCTAGTCAAAAGCCTGACTCGTGTAAGTTTATTATCCAGTCTGCCCCTCAATGCACCAGAGGACTATGTGCCAGTTTTTGTTCCTGAGCAGATTCCCCAAGCACGTCTAGCAAAACACACTGTTTTACGTAAAAAATATAAAACAAATTTATTAACTACAGAAAGATTTTAAGTGATAAGTAGTAGCATACACATCAAAGTTGGTTACCTAAGAAATAAACAAAATTGCAATCTAAATTCTATAAACTAGACAGGATTTGAATCAAGCAGTGTCTCACCCTAATGGTACAAACAGTCCACCCATCTTCTATACGCAGGCAGGGCTTTCTACTGTCCTGCCTGGGACCCTCTTCCCCAGTTCAGTCTTTGTTCCTATGGTGTTTCCAGGTGTTTAGATGTAAGGGGAGTGAGGCCAACTGGTGATGGTACTTCCCCGTTTTATGGCTTCTTCCAAGTGGAGGGAACTTCATTGTCCCAAGCAAAGTCCCCAGCACAGTTAGTGGAAAAATACAGGCACAAGATGGAGTCCAGTATCACATGATCTGGTCACCTGCCCTTGCATGCTTTGATGAGTCATAGCAGCCATTACTTATACATTGGCTGAAGTGCCAACAGGAAAGCTCATCAGGTGAGGCTAAGCTTTTCCCATGGCCCATTGTTTTTGCTCAGGGGCCATTACCTTGAATAGACTCTGGCTAGATTAGATGTAAACTAACTTGTAGGAGTTACCCAGGAACAAGCACATTTGAAATATTGATGTATAGTCAATATTCATAACTCCAGATATAAAAATCATACATTCATACAAATAGGATAATTCATATTCAGCAACCCATAACTTTTCCATTGATACTTCACATGACATATTTTGTACAAGATGCATCATAATATCATAATCCTATCACTATGATGAATATGGGGTGCAGAGTATCATAGCCATCTCATGACCAGGGATCCTATAAATCAGTTTGCTATGGAAAAACACATAATTTGCATTTTTATAGAGAATCTTTAGTTTTACATTTTGTGGAAAAAATAAAAACATATACGGTAGAACCCTGTTTATCCGAGCCTCCATTATTTTGGTGCTCTGTATTAACTGAACTGGGATTGACAGTGAGAACCCCAGATTATCCAAATTTTTGATTATCCAGTCTGGCCTTGGTCCCAATTAGATCGGATATACAGGGTTCCATTGTATCAATAAAACATTTTGTTCAACTGATATCTATATATATTCTGGCTAGGGAAACTGAAGTTCAACGTTTCATTTTAATTTTGGAAAACCCTGGGTTTTTATGGGTTTCACATCCCTGCTTGTGACACGCCAAACTTTGGCAAATTGGTGTTAGTCTCTGTTCAGATAATCCAAAATCCCTCCACCTGTAAGGGAACTGCTGATGAGTCACCTACAGTGGAATGCACAATCACTTGAAGGAGAGAAAATGGTTACCTGTACAGTAACTGTTGTTCTTCAAGATACGTTGTGTACATATGTTCCAGGACTCTCCCACCTTCCCGGTACTTCAGACATTGCGTATCGTGGTGCGAAGGAACAGAGAGGGAGGCAGTAGCCCCTTTTATGCCCTCACCAGACATCAGGGGCATGTGCACCACCTCATTGTACTGCTGGCAAAAGTCTCCACCTTGAATGCACTGGGCACGCGTACACTCACAGTGGAAGGTATTTGTGCACAACACGTCTCGAAGAACAACAGTTTCTGCACAGGTAAGTACCCGTTTTTTCTTTTGTCTCTGTCATAGAGAGAACTAAATACTTCAGTTAAGAGAATGATTTGTTAGGACAGGAAGTAGACTCAATCATTTATGACAGGTTTCAGAGTAGCAGCCGTGTTAATCTGTATTTGTAAAAAGAAAAGGAGGACTTGTGGCACCTTAGAGACTAACCAATTTATTTGAGCGTAAGCTTTCGTGAGCTACAGCTCACTTCATCGGAGTAGCTCACGAAAGCTCATGCTCAAATAAATTGGTTAGTCTCTAAGGTGCCACAAGTCCTCCTTTTCTTTTTTCAATCATTTATGGGCACTTTTAGTAGTACTAAAGTCTCCCTGAGTTGATCCAGTCTCAAGACTGTGGGCCAGGTTCTAGATGCAGGAAGGGCAATATTGTAGTGGTTGCTCTCAGTTCTGTCTTCAAGGTTTTCTTCACAAACGTGTGTCCTAGACAAATGGAAAACTGAAAGTGTGTTTTGTACAGCAAGGGAAGGGGCCTAAGGAAATTGTGCGATACAGGGGCCTTATTGGTTGATAACTTGGTTAGTAGTTCTGAACTCAGGCACTGGATTACAGTAACTCAGGGGTTCTCAGACTGGGGGTTGGGACCCCTCGGGGGTCGCAAGGTTATTACATGGGGGGTTGTGAGCTGTCAGCCCCCATCCCAAACCCTGCTTTGTCTCCAGCATTTATAATGGTGTTAAATAAATAAAAAAGTGTTTTTAATTTATAAGGGGGGGGGGTCGCACTCAGAGGCTTGCTGTGTGAAAGGGGTCACCAGTACAAAAGTTCGAGAACCACTGCAGTAACTAGAGCAGTGACCTTTAAAAAGGAGCTGCTGCTACCTAAGTGCGGAAGGGAGCCTTCCTGTTGGCCCAGGGAGGAGGTGGGGAATGGTTTGCTCAGAAGCTGCTGTAATCTGGGAACAGGAGGAATTAGCATGACAGATATCAGGTTTCAGAGTAGCAGCTGTGTTAGTCTGTATTCGCAAAAAGAAAAGGAGTACTTGTGGCACCTTAGAGACTAACCAATTTATTTGAGCATAAGCTTTCATGCATCCGATGAAGTGAGCTGTAGCTCACGAAAGCTTATGCTCAAATAAATTGGTTAGTCTCTAAGGTGCCACAAGTACTCCTTTTCTCATCACAGATAAGTGGAACTATTTGTTATGTTTAGGCCTCCTGTCAAGGATATCTCGGTACATCCCCCTGGGCCCTCTTCACCTTCCTAGAAGCAATGCCAGAGACCCTCCCTCCCATGGCCATTGTTGTTGAACACTTTCATAGAAGTGGTTTTATTTTTTTCGTTTCAAGTTGCTAGTTCCTGGTTTTGTAATTTTCCTTGTTATGAAGGTTATTCATGATCAAAACTCTGAGGTGGCGCTCTTCATCACACGGTTACATTTGGCCCGAAAAAGTTATTCTTGCCAACTACAAGACAGAAATGTCGATGTTGTCTAGAAAAGGACACCTTGGAACCAGTTCAAAATAATCTTGCCCAGAGACTTGTGTGTTGTCTCATCCATTTCAGGGACAGGTGTTTAAGATAGAGCAGTGTTTAGCTGAAATGTACAAATCTTCTGATATGTATATATTGCACTGGAGTTCCAACACAACATCCTCTGGAAAGATGTGATAGATCAACAGGAAAAATCTTAGAATTGTTTAAATAGACTGAACTGTGTTACTTGCTATCTGTTACAATATTTGAAAACAATGTATCTGTAAGTACACTCTATGTGATGACATTCATGTGGTAATGACATTTATCATGCACTTCTGATGGTTGCATTTGTACTCTGCCCCTTACTCCAGCTCCACTGCGAGCTGTCTGATCTTTCAAACACTGCAGCTCTTACCACAGCTTACTAAATAAATATTTGTTCCCCCATAGGTGATGTGATCCTGCACAGTTACATGGCGAATAGTCAGTCTTGCAGTAGTGACACAGGGCTAAGATCTGGTAGTGCATTATCCATTACAGCTAGAAAGAAAAATAATGCGTGTGACATTTAAAAACTCAGATATTTCTATAATAGTTGACCCGCTTTATCTGTAGTGTCTGCTCAATTCTCACTCTGTTTTAAGCATGTAGCCATGAGATAAAAATGTAAGTCTGGTTCCGAAAGGTAGCACACACAGTTCTCTGGCCACCTTCATTTTCACTGCCGAGCTGCAGGCTACCAACACTCAGAATAGAATCCCAGCCAGCTTGCTTAAGATGGAGCATCACATCCTCAGACTTGTCTCTCTCAGATATATCTGGAAACTAGCAATGATGATGGAATCTCTATTTAATTCAAATAAGGGCCTGATGCTGCTTTCTTTTGTATATCTGTCCGAGCAGGATGCTGCCTTCTTCTCTCTTCCATATGAAACTGAATTGATCCAAGAGGCTACTACTCTCTTCAAATCTCTCAGACCCACCTTTACTGTAGCCTATACGATTTCAGCCTACCCTGCTTGGGGCTTCCAGCTGCTACTATAATATAAATAAATACAAATTATCTAGATTTCCCACTGTTTAGAAATCTGCATCAATTTGGTTTATTCTACTCCGAGAAAAATAGTGAAGTGAAACTAAATGTTCAAGTGCAAGACTGTGTGTATGTCCATTAATTTTTTTTAATATGTATACTGAATATTAACTTCATAGAGCTGCCATTGTTACTGCCTACAACCAGCCTTGCACTTTCTTACCTGTAAGGACTTCTATAGGGAAAAAATGGCTCACCATTTAGTATAGAACTCCCTTATGTAATTATTGAAGCTGTAAAGCTTGGCTTGAGTCCAGTCTTCTGATTTGTTCACTCGGTGTGAATTTATCAGCACATCAAAAGATGGTAGTAAAATAAGTGACGGACGATTGGGTTGTGGCTCTAATAACTTTACATGAGTATCTGAAGTCCCATTTGCTGATGTCTGTATTAAACCCGCCAATCTATGTACAATACAGCATTTCAAAAGGTTACATCAGGGTCAAAATACAGACATGACTTTCACCGGCAGTGACTGGTAAGTGTTCGCAGTAACAATCAATGTCACCAGAGCCCCAGTGCAGCTATTTGTACATGCAGTGATTGTGGTCACTTAGGATGGGAGTCATAAACATAGTTAAGGATCCAACGCCTATAAATAGCTCTTGTGAATCCCAGCCTTAATGTCCAACTCATCAGTCGCAGCGCCGAACATCAAGGGGTCACCAGCAGGACTGAGAGGCACAGTCGCATTCCTGTATTGTTCAAAAATTGAAAGGGGAGTGGCAAGAGAAGGCAGAAATGTAGCCTTGTGATAGGGCTGATTTAAATCCTTCCATTTTTTTTTTGAAAGTTATGGGGTATGGCTTAGGGAACATACTTTCAAGTCACAAATAATTTTCAGTCACCCTCAAGGGCCACACGTTTGACCCTACTGATCTAAATTATGTCAAAAGGGCAGTGATGCCCAAGGCTGAATAAAATATTTCAACAGCTCTTCCTAGGGCAGCTAGTGAAAGGGCTGTTACAGAAAGCTATAGTAGACCGTCAGTACCGCCTGGGCTTATTTTATTGTTACACAGGTGTACAAAACAAAAAGTTGCAGTTTCTTGCCCAGTAATAAGATTTCGTATGTGTAGCAAAGGAAAGCTGCCCCCATTAGACCAAACAGGAAAGAGTCACATTAATTCTAGTGGAAACAAGAAGCAGGCATGCATCTTCATATATAAAATCCAAATGTTATTCCCTTTATTTCACGAAAGAAATGATTGTTAGTTTGGCAGAACAAGATTTGGCAAAGGCTTTGAGAAAAGTAATCCAGTTAACTCCAGAGCAGTATGGCTTCCCTCTGCTAAAGGCGCTTGAGTACAACTCCAATTCATTAGTTTAATAAATAGGAAGCACGCTAGGTGGGTACTAGCCAGATCCAAATCCAGATTTTACGTTAATTAGACAGCAAGGACTAACTGATTTTCTACTTTCCAAATATTCTTTCAAGAATGTAAATGACTTTAAACAGTCACTAAATCAAACCTTTTATGGAAAATTAACTGTCATTTTTGTGTATTGTGCTGTTAAGATGACAGAGACGGGTAGCTGTGAAAACCCCATTAACCTGTCAAGTTTGGTGCTGAATATAAAAAAAATACTATGAATCAAAAGAACAGTCTCTGCAAGTATAACTTAGTAGACATAACTTCAACCCATTTTGAGTCAGTCGTCATTACCCGGGACACATTAGCACAAAACATGCAATGTAGCCCATTTCCACATGTGGTGGCAGAAGTACAGGCCTCAGCTGTGCAAAGATTAGCAGGGGAGTAGTCCCATTGAAGGCTGGGGCTAGCTGTAGTTAAGCATAGGTGTGTTAGCAGGTTTGGGGGCATATTTAGGTATTACGCCTGTAAGTTGCTCTGCCAAATTTTTGTAGTTTTACAATCAGATCTTCCTTTAAAAAGACAAAACAAAACAACTCCTTTTGCAGGTGTGAAAACCCACCCCATGGAATGGAGAAATGACCCTGCATAAAGTGCTAGCAAAGGCACAAAGTAAAATAAAAACCTCATTCTCTCTCGGGCTTAGTCTAGTCATTTAAGGTGTTAGCTGGGGACAGTCAAATGATGTTTGCTACACCCTCTTTCCAGGCAGAAGAGGGGGTCTTGACAAGCTGCTGAGATCCCTTTCATCATTTGCATGAGAAACACTTCTTTTGATGCAGGCTACATAAGGGGTACGGCGGCCAGTGCTCACTTACAAGTGCTACAGCGTGATCAGGGGAAGGAAAAACTCACTCAGTCATGCTTTCTTAGGCGGCATTTGGAATAAAATGGATTTTGCTAGATGCAAATCCGTTCCGTCACTTCAAAGGGTCGGCTTTATACAGTATTTTTCACCTGCTCATCCTAAAAAAGGAAGTGCTGGGTTTTAGCCCTAAGTTTGGAGGCTTTTGGGATAAGAGGGAGAAATTTGATGGCACATCTATTTAAATAGCTACACCTACTAAATGAGATCATACAGGCCTCTAAAATACTGTTGTGAAGAACAGTCTAGGCACTATCGTGTGCATTTAACAGCTGAGGTAGCAGGAGGTGAAGAAATGCTCTATTTAAAAGGCATTTTTGCTGTAACCAGCCAGAGGTGCGCAAATTCCGTGCAGCCAGAGGAGAAGGGCACAGGTGACAATTTGCCAGCTGCCCATGGCAGCACCAGCCTGGCTGATCCTTAGCAGGGCTGGGGCTGCTTGTCAGGGGGAAGTGGCAGTTCCTTGTCATCGGTCTCCTCCTCCCTGCCCAGCTCGGAGCGCTTCCTGGGCTCGGGGGTCTCCTCCGCCCACCTCCCCACTCTGCGCACCCCCTTGGCCACCTTGGGTGCATTCCTGCAGGGGTTGTGGTCGTAGATCACCAGCTTGAGGCCGGGGAGGTGAGCCAGGCTGGGGAAGGACCTGATGGCGTTGCGATCCACGTCGATCACCTCCAGGAAGGGCATGTGCAGCAGCACCGGGGGGAAGTCAGCCAGCAGGTTGCCGGAGAGCCAGATGGTGCGCAGCTCCTGCAGGCACCGCAGCCCAGCGGGCAGCGTGTACAGCGCGTTGGAGCCGGCGTGCAGGGTCTTGAGGAGGCTCAGCTCACACACCACCTCGGGCAGGTAGCTCAGGCAGTTGGACTCGAGCCACAAGGTTTTGAGATTCTGCAGGAGGCTGAGCTCCTGGGGCAGGTCGCAGAGCTTGTTGTTGCCCAGGTAGAGGATGCACAGCTGCTTCAGGGTGCACACCACCAGGGGCAGCGCTTTGAAGTTGTTGAAGTCTAACGCCAAGATCTGGAGGTTCTGCAGCTGTTCTAGCTCTGGGGGCAGCTGATGCAGGTTATTGTCGCTCAGGTACAGCTTGACGAGCTCCCTGAAGGAACAAACATGCAAGGGAAATCTCCTCAGCTGCCTGCTGCTCAGATCCACCGTTCTGTCAATTGGCATCTCTTCAAGGTCTCCCAGGAGGTATTTCTGACAGTCGTCAGAAGGGATGAAGGCAAGGATTGCTCTCAGCGTGTTGCCCATACTGAAACTGTCTGCATTTAAAATCACTGCTACCATGTGGAACCCGGAGCATCAGGAACTCTCCCTGGTTTCTACTTTGTGCACTGTCCTGCTGGTATTTCCTTCTTCCCGTTATAATACACAGTTTACATGGCAACAGTCATTAATCTCAAGAGCTCTGAAATGTTGCTGATAACCGAATGAGTGCTTGGTGATGGGAAGTGCAGACAGCATGACTTTCGGAGAACAGGTCTCTCTCACACACAGAAAAGAGGCCATCTTCCCCGTGAAGACTGTAAAAGTTCTAAAATTGCACTACACTTGACCAAAAATAGTTTCTCAAACGCTCCCTGCCTCCCTGTAGATACAGCCACACTGTCTGTGCAGCTGGTACCAGCGCTGGCGATTGGCTAAGGAAAGTAAACATCGCTGAAGAGTGAATTTTTAAACTTAATTTAAACTAAACATTTAATCTTGTAGCAGACTGAGTGGGACTGTCAGATGGAGTCTGATTCCTGTTTAGAATACCTGTCAAGACTCAACTAACTTTCCAGACCAGTGGAACTTTTATGGAGTTACTTTGTGAAGTGCCAAATACACATTTGAACAGTGTGACCTGCCACCCAATACTTATCTCATACATTTAAGATAAATACTTGGCAAAGTGCTCTTTAGCTGCCTCAGTATTTACTTTCTTAATTTAACTGTATTTACTAGAGCTGCTGGGACTTTTAGCTGTGTGCCGTCTTTTTGCTAAATTGCATTTGGGTTATACTGCCTGAATCCCATATACAACACATTCACCATCACAACATGCCTCCATTCTTCTAACCTCCTGCCACTAACTCCCAGTGTCTAGCTGCCCTTTCATCTGGCAAAAGACTTTGTCATTAAATCCATGGCAATGTTTTCATAGAATCTCAGAGTAGGAAGTACCTCAGGAGGTCATCTAATCCAACCCCCTGCTCAAAGCAGGACCAATCCCCAATTTTTGCCCCAGAATCCTAAATGGCCCCCTCAAGGATTGAATTCACAACTCTGGGTTTAGCAGTGCTCAGACTGCTGAGTTATCCTGAGCTTAAATGTAGCCAGTTATGGATTTGTACGCAGTAAAACCTGCCTTAGAGACCACCTCTGAAGAGAGATCACCTGTCACGAGCGACTGCTTGCAGAGGCCCCAGAACCATCACTCTCTGCCATGCAAACTTTTGAAGAGAGACCACCTCTTACAAGCGACCACTTTTGCTAACTCCGATGAGTGGTCGCTCTTGGCAGGTTTTACTGTAGTACATTCACTGTTATTACTAATTTAGATATTCAGTCTGCAAACTTTGGTGCATAGCATCCATTCATTTGTAGAGGACTTCCAATCTTTAGAGAGCAGCTCAATAGATGCTTCGAACTCTTGGGTGATTCTTTCTACAACACTCTTGCAAATCTTCACATCAGAGGTTCAGAAGAACTTTGATTTTTGAAAGAGCATTTCCAACAGATGGAGTTGGATGTTTGGTTTGATTTCAGTTCACACATCAAATGGCAGAGTTTGACTCTTTATCTGCATCAGTTGTGATCAAGGGAGGCTATTTTCTTTAAAGTGTGTACAACTACTTTCCAGTAGCACCTTCAATGTGCTAGGTGCTGTACAAACACAAAAGAAGTCATGGTTGCTGCCTTGAACAGTTACACTTAGTGGCGGTGGTGAGGAAAGTCAGAACAAACAGAAGATAGGGAAAAGGGGAAGAGCAAACAGTTAAAGTGGCCTCAGAGCAAATGTCTACATCCTGGTCATACAAATTTGCATTGATACTGTTTGTTTTTAAATGTACTGTACTGGCAATTCCAAATTATCCTACAGCCAATCCATCATAGTTAGTTGTGCATGTGTCATAGTAGAAGTTGGTCTGTAGCAGAGATTTGAATGAGGAGAGGGCAGTGATGTGGGGGACCAGGTCTTGAGGCATGTTCCATGCAGAAAGGGTGCTATGAAAGAAGGCCTGAAGACACTGATGGGAGAGACAGATAAGTGGCATGCTGAGGCTGGATCTACTGGCAGAGCAGAGCGGATGCTAGTACATCAGGGTGACCTGAAATGAGATTCAGGCTGATAAGCAGGAATGGGCAGAGTTATCAGGATCTTGAAGGCAAGGCGAGCTATTGCAAGTGTCTGTTGGCTTGCTGTAAGGATCAGTATTGAAAACATTGTCTTGAATTAGTACACCAGACAATGGCAAAGCAAGTGATGTACCATACATATGGCAGTACCACAGTAACAGTGGAGTTTCCACTGAGGAACCTTCACGTGGTTGCTGCATTTTTTTTATAATGCAATACTGTGCTGTATTTCAGCGAAACTGTGTAAATAGCATGTCAGCACTGTACTTTCATAATCTCTCCTTTTCTAAGCAATTATCATGGAAAATTTAGATACTTTGATTTTATGAAATCCCTTTAATCTGAAATACTTTGATGTATCCCAGTTTAGCATCTGCATTTTAATCTGTTTTATGACCCCCCCCCCGCAATTTTTATGAAAGTTTCAAAACCCTCCAAAATGTACCTGATTGTGTCTGTCAAAACACACAGAGAAAAGACTATATTTTGGTTAGTTGGCATACATCACTTTTTAGTGGTGTGAGCTATGATAGAGAACACATCCATGATATAGGTATTTCCATAATAATATAAGGGATTCAGAAACTGTGGTGACCAGTGTGGTACAAAAACCTAGGTAATAACTTTTTAGTTATTAATATAGTTTGTTTGAAGTGTAATTTTCCTTTTACCAGTGTAGTATGGAGAAAAGAAAAAATATCTCTCTACTTTTTTGTCTTATCAGCTTGGCATTTGTATATGAAAGTATATGTTTGTATATTTCTAGAGCATATTTCAGGAAGATTTTTTTTCTTTTTGTTTTTAACTAAATATATATTGGGAAAACTCTGGGGTATAGTTTAATCATTGCTATAGCTTATCAAAAAAAGTCAGAATGACCTTTCGTTGCTGTATTTTGTGCTTTTGTTGGCAAAGTTAAAGTCTGTTTGGAACACGCTAGTGAAATCAGAGTATTTGGAGAAAAAAAAAGGAACTCAACAATAGAAGAATGGGCTTTTGAGGGGACATTAGAAATATAATAAAAAGCCCTGATTCATTTAAGCAGTAATGATAATGAGGAAGGGCATTTTTAGGCAGCTAATGATTGAGTGGAGGAGCTGAGGGTGAGAGCAAGTTAACAAATACTCAGCCAGTCAGGAAATGCCCAACATAGTTATGCCTAATGTAAGATATTGAAGTCACTTTTCATACCTTGACAGTTAGTCTTACTGGCCCTGATATTTCAGTGGGGCTCTACCATATTACAGGGGTCCACCCCCTCGGACCTCATTACAGGACTGAGCTCATTGTCAGTTATGGTTCTGTTCAGTTCTTTGTTTTTGTATAATCAGGTGTGTCTGTCCCATAAAAATAAAAATATTGAGAAAAAAATTTAACTGTACTTTATGTTATCATGCATCTGGTGTTCTGCTGCTCTTAGCAGTTAGTGCCTACAACTGGTTCGATTGAATTGGGTGGGAAAACTCCCTTTCACAAATAAGAAATCAGGACTTCATTCTCAGTTATTTCTCTAGGTTTATTAAAAAAGCAATAAGATCCAATGAGAATATATTTTTATTACTGCACACTACAGAAGGTGGTGCTGGCATTTGACTTTAGTTATTTGAGAAGAGCAAAGGAACTATCCGGAAAAGGTTAATTCTTAATGTACAATGAGAAATACAGATCAGTGAGGAAAATTATCAGACTCATGGTTATTATTGGATTTAGCTGTCTGAGAAATGACTTCTTTCTCTGTGACTGACCTCCCACAGTAACTACCTCCCACTAGAATGCGAGAATGTCCACAACTAGTGCCTGTGAGCGCAGGAGACAGAACTTCGTGGGAGCTGGACCAAGACTATAGCGCACACTCACACATGAGGTAAAAATCACCACAGACCCCGCCAAGTTCAAAAATAAATACCAAACCCATCTCTTCAACTTAGCTTTACCTGGAGAAAGTCTATACACCTACAACTAAACTAATCAAGCTATTTTTCCTATGGAATGGGGTGGAAGAGAGAGAGAGACTATCTTTTATTCTAATTTGAAATACTTGACAGGTTCCATGGTGAGCAGGGCCAAACCTAGATAGACGGGCAGATAGATTCATGGCATGTTAAAAGCCTAATCCAACACCCCCTGAAATCAGTGGAAGGATTCACATTGAAAACAATGGACATTGCATCAGGCCTAAATGTAGTATGGACAATACTCATGGAATTGTTCTTTGAACACACAGGGGAGTGTTCTCTTTACCATCTGTCTCTCAAAGTTACATCCATAGGTCTGGTCTATACACAATTTTTCTACTGATTCAATTATATTTGTTAACAAGTGGTTACACTGGTGCAAACCTCTAGTGTGGATGCAGGTTTACTGACATAAACACCTTGACACTGGCAGAGTTTATTCTGGTCACTTTACTTAAATGTAAAGCATATAACTGCATCCATGCTAGAGGCTGCACCAGTGTAACTATATCTATTTCTAAACCAACATAGTTAAATGAGTTCAAAATCTGTGTGTGTAGAAAGGTCCCCTGCAGGAGGATTTCAGGACTCATCAAGAACTCTTAAAGAGGAGAGGAGATGGAGGAGCCCTCAGACTCCCTGTTTAACATGCTGTCCCTGTTGGCACCAGGTAGGGTGGCCTTGCCCCTCCATGAAGGGGTGGCTAAGATTTCAAATGCCCCGTGGCAAACACCAGCCTCGTTGGCCTCCATCTCTAAGAAGGCGGAACGCAAGTTCTTTGTACCCACTAAGGGGCATGAGTACTTCTATACCCACCTGGCTTCCAACTCCCTGGTGGTCAAGTCGGTCAACTACAGGGAACGGCAGGGTCAGCCAGCCCCAACCCCAAAGAAGAAAGACTCTCAGAGACTGGACTCTTTCAGAAGGAAAATGTATTCATCTTCGAGCTTCCAGTTATGAGTCGCAAACCATCAGGCTCCCCTGGGCCGGTACAAATTCAATCTGTGGGGCTCCCTGCCCAAGTTTGAGGACTCCCTCCAGGACCACAATAGGAAGGAGTTCAAGGCGCTAGTGGAGGAAGGGGCAGCGGCCGCTAGGGCATCCCTGCAGGCAGCCTCGGATGCCGAGGACATGGCCGCACAATCCATGGCCTCTGCGGTGTCCATGAGACGGGTGTCATGGCTCCTGCTCTCTGGACTGTCCAGCGAGGCGCAGTCTTCCATGCAGGATCTCCCATTTGACAGGAAAGCTCTATCTGTGGCGGAAACAGATACAAGGCTGCATGGCATGAAAGACTCCCGCACAACCCTACAGACTCTCTGTCCCAGCTCCGGCAAAACCTAAGTTCAAGCTGCAGCAGACTCCTGCCCAGCTGCCCTCCTGAAGTATGAGGCTGCCCATAAGAAGCAGTGGGACTATAAGAGACGCCCTTAGAGGCAGTCTTGGCCTTCCCCCCAGCCTGGGTCCTCCAAGGGCAAGCAGGCAGGGAAAAGGCGCTTTTGACGGGATGCTTGGGTGCACGCCACCAGTCCTCATCAGGGATCCACCCCCAGTAAAGCTTCCCTTCTCCAACCGGTTGTGTGCTTTCCTCCCGGAATGGTCGCGGCTAAGCTCGGACCGATGGGTCCTCAACACCATCTCCCGGGGTTACACCATCTAGTTTACTTCCTCCCCACCAAACCACCCCCAGCTCAAGCAGGAGGTAGGGCTGCTCCTAGGACTAGGAGTGATAGAGGCAATGCCCGAGGAGTTCATGGGCCAGGGGTATTACTCCTATTATTTCCTCCTCCTGAGGGCCAAAGAGGGGTTCAGGCCCATCCTGGATGTGCGAGGTCTGAACCAGTACATGATGAAACTCAAGTTCAGCATGGTTTCCCTGGCCTCCATCATCCCCTCCCTGGATCCCAGGGACTGGTACGCCGCCCTCCATCTACAGGATGCATGCTTCCACATCCACATATTTGAGGGGCACAGGCGCTTCCTCCATTTCGTGGTGGGACAGAATCATTACCAATTCACGGTCCTCCCATTTGGTCTGTCCACTGCCCCCAGGGTGTTTACAAAATGCATGTCGGTGGTAGCAGCCTACCTCAGAACAGGGGGGTTCCAGATATTTCCCTATCTGGACGATTGGCTTGTCAAGGGCACCTCCCGGTCGCAGGTGAGGGATCACGTGGTGCTCCTTCTGTCCACGTGCACCGCCTTGGGCCTGTTGGTAAACAACACCAAGTCTACGTTAATCCCGCTCCAATGCACACAGTTTATCAGGGCGCTCCTGGACGCAGCGTCGGCCAGGGCCTTTCTCCCGCCAGACAGATTCGGGACCCTGAAAGGTCTCATCGACTTGGTCACAAGGTTCCTGGTGACAACAACCAGGGTTTGCCTGCAGCTCTTGGGTCACATGTCGGCATGCATGTACGTGGTCCATCACGCCAGACCCAGGATGAGGCCTCTCCAGCTCTGGTTGGTCTCAAAGTTCTCTCAGGCCATGGACAGGATGGACAAGGTCCTCTCCATGCCAGACTCTGTGATCACCTCCCTACGGTGGTGGTCCGCCCCAAACAACATGCTCTGAGGAGTCCCATTCAGGGACAGGGCCCTGTCGTTGGAGCTGGTGTCCGATGCATCGGACCTGGGTTGGGGGGCCCATGTGGGGAACTTTCAGACCCAAGGTCTGTGGTTAGCTCAAGACCTGACCCTACATATAAACATCAAGGAGCTCAGTGCAGTGCAGCTGGCATGTATGGCCTTCCGCTCTCACCTGGAGGGCAAGGTAGTCAGGGTCCTCATGGATAACATGGCCTCGATGTTCTATATCAACAGACAAGATGGGGCCCCATCCTCTGCCCTCTGCCATGAAGCCCTCAGGCTGTGGGACTTCTGTATAGCCCACGACATCCACCTGAAGGCCGAGAGGGCGGATCACTTATGCAGGGACTTTTCCTCGCAACATGAGTGGTCCCTCCACCGGACGTGGCCCACCGGCTCTTCCGAAGGTGGGGAACTCCCCAGGTGGACCTATTCGCAACTCAGCAGAACCGGCGATGCCCCCAGTTCTGCTCCTGGGGGGCCTGGGGAGGGGCGCTATCTCCGATGCCTTTATCTGTCCTGATCCGGCTGGCTTCTCTACGCCTTTCCCCCATTCCCTCTAATCAGCAGGGTCCTGGAGAAGATAAAGACGGATGAGGCCTGGGTCCTCCTGATTGCCCCGGCGTGGCCCAGGCAGCATTGGTACAGGACCCTCACAGGCTTGGCAGTAGCTCTGCCGTGGCCATTGCTGCTCTGCCCGGACCTGCTCTCTCCGGACCAGGATCACCTCCTCCATCCTAACCTAGCGGCTCTTCACCTTACGGCGTGCCTGTTCAGTGATTAGGTGGAGAGGAAAGGATGTGTTCAGAACAGGTTCAGTACATCCTCCTCAAAAGTAGATGGCCCTCCACTCGCCGCGCTTATTTGGCGAAGTGGTCCTGTTTTCTAGGTGGGCGGCAGACCAGGGTGTCTCCCCTGTGGCCGCCCCTATCCAGCTTATCCTTGATTACCTCCTCCACCTGAGGGTCCAGGGCCTGGCGCCCTCGTCAGTCAAGGTGCACCTGGCAGCCATATCAGCCTTCTATCCGCTGGTGCAAGGGCACACGGTATTTTCCTATGCTGTGACTGGCCAGTTCCTTAAGGGTTTGGACCGTCTTTTTCCATATTCTAGAGCCCCGGTCCCACAGTGGGACCTAAACCTGGTGTTGGCTCATCTCATGGGGCCCCCGTTTGAACCACTGGCCACGTGGTTCTGGTCTCACCTCTCATGGAAGGTTGCAATCACATCAGCCAGGTGAGTCTTGGAGCTCAGGCCCCTGACCTCCTAGCCGCCGTACACGATCTTTTATAAGGACAAGGTCCAGCTTTACCCACACCCTGCGTTCCTCCCGAAGGTGGTGTCTGCCTACCACATGGGTCAGGACATTTTTCTACTGGTCCTCTGCCCCAAACCTCATGGGTCCAGTGAGGAGCACCACTTCCACATGCTCGATGTGTGGTGGGCTTTGGCTTTCTACCTCGAGCGGACCAGGCTGTTCAGAAAGTCCTTGCAACTGTTCATCACCTCGGCTGAGCATGCGAGGTGCCAGCCGATTTCCACTCAGTGGCTTTCCAATTGGATCACTTTGTGCATTTGCTCCTGTTATGAGCTGGCGGGTGTCCCCCTGCCACCCACTGTGAGGGCACACTCGACTCGGGTGCAGGCCTCGTCAGCTGCCTTCGTGGCCACGTCCCCATCCAGGACATTTGTAGGGCCACGTGGTCTTCGGTCACACGTGGTCACACGTTCAGCTCGCATTATGCGATCGTCTCCCAGGCCAGGGATGATGCCGGGTTCGGCAGGGCGGTACTCCGTCCTTGGAACTTATGAACTCCTACCCACCTCCAACAGATATAGCTTGGAATCACCTACTGTGGAATACACATGAGCAATCACTCGAAGAAGAAAATACAGTTACCTTTTCCGTAACTGGTGTTCTTCAAGATGTGTTGCTCATGTCTACTGCACATCCTTCCCTCCTTCCCTTCTGTCGGAGTTGTCTGTCAAGAAGGAACTGAGGGTGGGGGGAGTGCGCAGCTCCCCTTATACCGCGTCAGGCAGGCGCCGCTCCAAGGGTTGTGGGGGGCGCTCCCCCCCCTACGGGTACTGCTAGGGGAAAAATTTCCAGCACCAGGGCATGTGGCAAGCACGCACACCTATTGTGGAATAGACATGAACAACACATCTCGAAGAACACCAGTTACGGAAAAGGTAACTGTCTTTTCTTTTTGATTTAATTTCTTATGTCTGTCCAAAGGTGAATTATTTATTTAGTGTAAATGCACCTTCATGCTGATATCAACCTGTTCTTTAGCTCGTTTTGAATGCTAGGAAAGTGTGGAAAAATACATTTCCCCCACTTTCTAACCACATTCTTTTGAACAAGATATAGCAAAAATGGCTCATATTTGGAAGTGCACCTTAGTGTAGTTCACCCTAAAGAGTATGCACTTTCCTACATTCTTTGTGGAGGAAAGATTCAAAATAAAACAAGTCATAAGCAATTGAAACATCACTTCTGAGCATGCTCAGTAGGCATCTGCTAGGATCTTTATCAGTCTAATGAAGCAGAGTCCCCTTATTACAAGATTTTACATTTTCCTTGTTTGGTCTATCCGTAGGCCTTGGGCATGGATGGGGGCTTCTATCTTCAGGATAGTCAGAAGAAAAAATTACAGATGTCTTGTTGAAACCACAGCAAAATCTCCATTAAAACCTGCCTTGACAATGTGTGAGAGGGAAAAAATCCTAGGCTATTTCGTGCATTACTTTGCATGCCACCATCTTGTTTGACGGATGACTTTTTTTGGATGACAGTCCATTTATTTATTTGAAATACAGCTTTCACATAAACAGCACACGTAGCTTAGTTTTAGCAAGGGCATTTATCTTCAGTTTTTGGGGGTGTGTGTGTGTGACTTGTGACACATAGGTGTTAGATCCTCTTGAAGCAAGTGCCACATAAAAAACTCAGCTGTTGGATATTAAATCCTGCCTAACTATCTTAGACACGTTCGAAATACCTGGTTTCAGAGTAGCAGCTGTGTTACTCTGTATTCGCAAAAAGCAAAGGAGGACTTGTGGCACCTTAGAGACTAACAAATTTATTTGAGCATAAGTTTTCGTGAGCTACAGCTCACTTCATCGGATGCATCCGATGAAGTGAGCTGTAGCTCACGAAAACTTATGCTCAAATAAATTTGTTAGTCTCTAAGGTGCCACAAGTCCTCCTTTTTTTTAAGAAATACCTGTCATCTATGCTTCTTTGTACAGCAAGATAGCCAGAAAATTCCTTAGGTTGCTTTGTGTTTTGCTTTCTCTCTCTTGCTCTCCCATAACGGGCTGAATTTTGCCTATATATATATAAAAAATGTTAACATGTATCTTTTCATATAGACCATGCCCTTGCTCAATGCGCTTTAATATCCTCAGGGGATGTCAATATTTACACAAACCAATGGTTTGTCCTCGAACACATTAATGAGGGTTCTGCCAAACTACTAATGACCTGGAATTGATTGACCTGGCTAACAGCCCTTTGTTGTCCAATGAAGTATAAAAGACGGTACTAAGTGTATGAATGTCATATAGATTCCCACCCACCTGAAACCATGAGGGTGCTATTAGTGGCTCTAGTGTATATTCCATTCATCTTAGCTATAGAAAGGTAAGAAAGCATTTCAAATATCACAGAATGGTCCTTATAGTGCATTTTGTTCTCCACTGATTTTCTGGAATGATCTTTGTGTGTTTCTGCAAAAGCTATTTTAAAAAAAAACATTGGCATTTGAGTGATACAGAAAGGAAGTCCAATTAAAATGGTTTGTATTTATTTTGTTTGCTTAGGATCCCTTTAGTTCGATTTAAATCCACCAAGAGGCAACTCCGGGAAAAGGGAGAACTGGAGGAATTTTTGAAAAATCATCAGCCTGACATTTTTGCTCGGCGATATCTGCATTGCTTCCCTTCAGATATTTTTCTACCAGCTGCTTCAGAAAGGCTATATGACTACATGAATGTGAGTATGTTCTTGTGTAATAGACTGTAAAGGGTTATTTATGGTACTGAAGGCAGGTTTTGGTTAGCACACTAGTTCTATTCTCTTGTAAAAAGTTTTGCAAGTTGAGATTAATTGTGTATCTGTTTAAACTAGATTCTTTGCATCCTTATAAATGAGCTTGCCAGTGTGCAAAAAACTGATCAAGTAACATAAGTAAAATTAGGATAGACATGGGACCTACTTAGAATTTCCCTCTAGTTTAGAAACTATGGCCCTGCAATGAGTCACACGAACCTCTGTTGACTTCACTGGGGCTCACATCTATGTGGGAGGCCCAGCAACATCCATCAGAAATCTGACATGTTACACAATAAACCAAAATGTCATATTGTTTGAACACGTTAGGTCACAAATAAATTCTTGTAAAAATCTGTGTTAATAAAGACATGTAGGTAATATGAATGGAGTTTTTGCTATTATTATTTATTGTCCCCAAAGTGCAAGAGGCACTTCGGAGATAAAAATGTCAGGCCTGCCTTAACCCTGAAGAATTTCCCATCTAAACAGATCTCAGATTTGGGGGACTACGTTGGATGGGATATTATATCACACAAGTTTCAGAGTAACAGCCGTGTTAGTCTGTATTCGCAAAAAAAAGAGGAGTACTTGTGGCACCTTAGAGACTAACCAATTTACACAAGTGATTTGAGCTTGTGAACACCACGTTTCTTGGTTTAGAGTTTTGTTTGGTTTTCTAATTGATTGGTTATTTTGTTAACATTTATCAAAAGGACAGGGCTAGGTTATACAGGCTTCTTGGAGGAGATAGTGTTTGTATGCAAGAAGGTAGAAGCATGGCAGATTGGGTCAATGAGAGGGGGTTCCAAGATGGGGGGGGGGGGTACAAGGAAAAAGGCCCCAGAGGTGAGCATGGAAGAAGAGCATGAAGGGTTAAAAACAACTTCCTTTAGAACTAAAGCTGGCCAGAATTTTCCAAATGTAGAATTTCTGAAAACATTTTTGTTGACTGTTCGAATTTTTACAGAAAACATCCTGAAAATTTTTGTTGAGAAGATTTTGTTGGTTTTTTTAAACTAGCAGTTGAGCTGGTCAATAAAACCAATAACGAGTCAAAAAATGTCTGTGAAACCTTTTACTGCTGTTTTGACCAGCTCTGCTTAGAACACTTGCACTCTAGCCAGAGGGAAGTGTGGGTAGTGACCAGAGTAGTCCTGAGGTGAGCCCTGCCCTGGGGGGAGATAGCAAGAGGTGTGTCCCTGAGCAGGGCCCTGTCCTGGCCTGAGGGGAGGTAGAAGTGGGGGTAGCCTTGAGGAAAGCCCTGCCTGGGCCTAAGGGGGATGGGCAGAACTGAGGCCACCCTGTCAATTGCTAAATCTTTTTGTCTCATCTTACAGTTTAAAAAATGGAAATGATCAATTATTTAGTTTTTCTCAAAGTGGCAAATGCATGAGTTGACCATTCCAAACTCCCCCCACTACTGGCACTTTGACTATGAGCGCAGCTGAGCAGATTCTGTCTATAATCCAGCTAACCCAGAGGTGGTGCTAACACATTGGGAGTTTTAGGCAGGAATATTTTTGCCCTCCCCCCAACACATAATAAGTGAACAGGGGGCCCAGAGGTGGTGCTAACCCATTGGGAGTTTTAGGCAGGAATATTTTTGCCCTCCCCCCAACACATAATAAGTGAACAGGGGGCCCAGAGGTGGTGCTAACCCATTGGGAGTCTTCGGTAGGAATATTTTTGCCCCCCCCAACACATAATAAGCGAACAGGGGGCCCCGTTGAGCTGCTGGGGCCCTAAGCAATTGCTTAGTCTGCTTATGACTAGCGCCGGCTCTGAACAGGCCACTGCCCTACAATGAATTTCATATAGTGGGTGGGATCCCATGCACTCTTCCACCCACCAATAAAATTAAAACCCCCTAAACAATAGCATTTCTGGTTTTGCTTCCTGGGTCTTAACTGATGAGCATTTTTTGAAGATACGAATACTAGAAATACATTTGCTAGTAGAATGATTTATATCCTTACTATTTCACTTGTAAATGGAGGGACTACTTAATTTAAACAAAGCTTCCCTGCTTATGAATTATGATCCCTTTGCCCTCCAGCTTTGCATAATGATATATCTGTATCTAGTAGCAAGGGACCACAAGGAGGCCTGGGATGGGCACACTTTTCATTTTGTAGCATATAATAAATAAATAGTACTATGACCCAGTTAGGATAAAGTAAGATCCCACTTCCACCTGTTCTGATGAGGGGAAAGCTAGTGAATTGGAAATGGTGATCCTCAGGGTGAAGTTAAAAGAACAGAAGCCGAGGGGACAATTTAGATAAAATTCACCACAACGCACCCTAACTTTAGTTTACTATAGAAAAAATTCTTAAATCTTAATCTGCTCACTGAGTGACGTAGTTGGAAGGACCTGCTTAGCTCTGATTGAGTGCTTGTCATTGTATCTAGAGAAAGTTATGGATCATGCCCCAAAGGGATTTTCAGTTTTAAACAAACAGGCAATAACATGCTTCCCACAAATAACACACTAGTTAATTAATCTCAAAATGTTGCAGGTTTTTCCATTTAACCATATTATTTATTATTATTAATGCGCTAGGTTCTGTACAGAAATGGATACAAAGATAAGGTCCCTGCTCTCAAGAGCTTACAATCTAATTTTACAGATGATGCAATAAGGCGATAAACAATAGTGGCAGAGGACAAGGGTTACAGTAATAAATAAAATCAAGCTGCGACTTAGTGGAGGCATGTGCTCATCCAGGTGCTCTTTTACACATAACTCATGCTGCTGTTTTTACTGACTTGTCTAATGTAGAAGGTAAGTTCCTGGGGCAGAGACCATGTTCCAATCAGTGCTGAGCACATTAATAGCAACTAATACATTCATCATAAACATTCAAATATTTGCATCTATACAGAATATTTTGGCACCGGAGAGGCTTTTCTATCTACATCGGATGCCAGAAATGCCTATTCCTAAGAATAGGTCTCCTAATGCTGCAGTGCTATTCCATAGGCAGATATGGGCACTAAGCAGTTGGAGCCTGAAAGCTGATAAGCTCCTTCAAAGTTCACATGTTCACAGATTATCTCCTTCTGCCTTTTATAGAAAAGAGCCTTCTGTATTTTCTATATTCCTCTGATAGGTTTTGTGTGGTGCATCAGGTGGAGTCTTAAGCGGAGACTGAATTTGATCATCATGATCATCATCATCATCATGATCATCATCATCATCTTGTTTTAACTGACTAATTACTACTGACTAGAATACATTCAAACAAAAATATACAGCTGTGTGCCCCAGTGAGGTGATAGTTGCATTGCCAGTTGAGTTAATATTCAGAGCTTTCTAAAATCAGTAGGGCTAGATCTTGCATTTCTTACTAGGATGAAGCTCCTAGACCTTCCTGTTGCCTTCAACAGGAGTTTTGCTGGAATTTACTGTAGGATTTTGCCTATCATTTGTAAGAGTTTGGGGATTGATTTTGCTTCCATTTTAGCCAATGGAAAAACTCCAGGATTGACTTCTTGCACTTGAAGTGCTGAAAAGCTATGCCACATCCTGAAATCTGCCGTACGTGGCCACTCATGGGACCGGAAAGAATTGGTTGCCTGGTAGAGGTAGCATTTAATTAAAAGTCAAATAATTGGATTGGAAACACTGAGGATATTTTACATTGTACCTTTGTCTGTCTTTTCTTCAAGGATAGTTTGCATTGATATAGTGCTAAACTGACTGAGTATATTTTTCCCCCAGGCCCAGTACTATGGGGTGGTAAGTGTTGGCACCCCACCTCAGAAATTCACAGTGGTGTTTGACACAGGATCATCCAATTTTTGGGTCCCTTCAGCTTATTGCATCAGCGAAGCCTGCAGTAAGAGATGTTATGTTCCTTTGCGCTTCTAATGGTTTAATTCACCTTTTAAAGTAGCTCCCCTGCAATGAATGCACTTTGTTGGAAAATGTCTTTAACAGAAAACCAAACACATTTCTTGAGTGTTCAGCAGAGTCTCACATACCTTCACTTCACACCCCTATTTTACAACAATTCCACTGACAGACTCACTTGCAGTTTTATTCATGTTGAGCAACAGTGGAGGGAGTCGATAATCTCCTGTTATATTCAGATTAATTCCAGTTCCACGTGCTCTGGAATTTGTCACTGCTAGTTAGATACAACAGGGGTGAGAGAAAGTGCGAGGTGAAAGGATTAGTCCATGCTGGTGAGGTGGGTAAGAAAGAGGAGTCACTAGAAAGAATGTCTGTGTTGCTTATCTCAGAGTTAGCTGCTGAGCTACACTAATATGTCTGCTCTACCTCACACAACTTATGGTGTGGTGGATAAGCCTCAGAAACAGCATTCAAACTTCATGCTGCCAGAGACATCTGAGACAAGAGAAGACAGAGAGAAAATCTCAGAGTGAAGTACTGGAATCTAAAGGCTATAGATGTGCCCATTAGGGAGAAATGAACAGGTTAATATTTCAGTGGAATCTGTATTTAGGAGCACAAGCAGCTGGATAATATTCATAACCTCAGATATGGATCTCAGTCCGACTGGAGAATCCAGCTGCTGCCCTCCACATCCCTCAATAGGTCTGGGTGGTCTCTAAGTTGGTGCAATCTTCTAGGAGAAGATTTTTGGTCTTGCAACAACTCTTTCCCCTTCCTGACATCTTCAGATGGCAACCAGCTCATGCGTCCATCCTGCTACTAAACAGGGTGGGGGAGGAGGTACTACATGCACGGTCTTATTTACATCAATATTGAGACAAAGTGCTCTCAGGAACCTTGGCCATGATGTCCAAACCCTGAGTGTCTTTTCCTGGGGTGGGCATCTTCTCTCTGTTATGCAGCAGTGGAAGTGGAAAGGCTCCTCCACTGCAGCGGCTGCTGCTACACTGATCTTTTGACTCTGGGGTTGAAAGATGTCTCAGAGTTCACTGGGCTGAAGGAAAATGTGAAAGGATTTGTGGAAGGAGTAGGCAGACTTTGCTGTGCATCCCCTAGAGAAACAGGATGGGTAGAGCAGAAGAGAGAGAAGTAAGATTCTGCCCTCTAAATATGTCAGGAAGATGGCAGGGAAGGATAGGTTTGAAGGCCCTCATTGGCACTGTCATTGCATTACTATTTTAAATTCCATTCTTCCTGTGCCTCACTGTAGCCGTGATATGCACCTTCTGTTGCTGCAACAGTTGCTAATTGACAATTAAATACTATGAAAAATCAGAGGCAAAAGAAACATCAGAAAGTTAAAAAAAATCTGTGGAAATAGCTGGATAAAAAAAAAATTTTTTTGATACAAAAAGGAAATCAATCAATTGCTGAGATATTTTCAGAATAGGGAGAAAACTGCAGGGTTTATGGGATGCAGAGACTCTTGCCTGCTTCCCTTCATCTGTTATTTTGCTTCTCCAAACAATGTGTTTTGTTTGCCTATCAGCTAGTCCTGTGTCTCAGAAATCTGGTACATTCCTGATAACCTTATCTTCAGTGCTAAGGGTGAAGTTTATTTTCACAGGGATGCATCAAAAATTCAAATCATTTCTATCAAACTCCTATCAGCATGGAGGGCAGGCCTTTGCCCTACAGTATGGTACTGGGCAGCTTCTAGGCATTGCTGGCAAAGACACATTACGGGTGAGTGGAACCCTAACACCATCGTAATCATCGCTCTCTGTATTGGTTGTTTATGGCTTTCCAGGTGGTTAAGATGTTAGTATTGACCTACAAAGACCTGAGTAGATTGGGGTCTGCCTTACCTGGGGGGAGAGACAGTGACTCATGTCATATTGCCACAGATGCTATAAGTATAGAGGCTTGAGCTGAAGCCCCTTGGGGACGGAGTGTGGAGAGGGAAGTAGAGAGCCCTCAGCATAGTGTTCTCTGTGAGAAGCCCTGGTCTTCAAAAGTTCCTTCCTTTGTGGTCCAAAACAGCACAAATCTGCTGACCGTGAGCAAGGCCTAACTGTATGCCCAGCGTTTTGAGGATAAAGTTGGTATTGCTTGGGTTTGATTTTATCTTTGGCTTTGGGGTGAGGAGCAAGCTAGTTCAAGCTGACTGACTGTATTGTCAGTTTACAGCAAATGTGCCTAGAGCCTAGAAAAGGCACCTTTTCATGTATTATTGATGCCTCAAAACTTCGTTAACGCCGAGCTGTTTGATGATGGTGCCCCGTAGCCTTCCCGAACGTTGTGTTCAGCAAAACACCAACCTGTGAAACCCAGGAAATACAAAGTTAAGGTACAGGCCACTCCTGCAATGCAACCTTAACTCTGCCCCCGGGAGCTAGCAATAGCCATTGGGAATGGTTCACAAAAGGGATGCCATAATAAGTAGCCAGCAGGAAATTCTAAGAGGCTGTAACATTATTTGTGTTGTGTTCCACAGATCTGAATTCCAGCATTTATCTGCATTCATGTCAGCTGCGTTCACTGTGTTAGGTGTAGTTGTACTGAATGTTGGAGGGCTTACACTGGAGCAAGTTGGTACGATTGTTACTGTGGGCACGGCTACACGAGAGAGTTTACAGCTGTGCTGCTGCAAACTATCTAATGTAGCCACTCTAAGCCGAAGGAGAAAGGTCTCCCCTCAGCTTATCTACTCTAGTCCCTGTGAGCAGCGGCAGCTATGTTGGCTGGAAAACTTCTGTCCACACCAGCACTTATGTTGGTGTAATTTATGTCACTTGGGGGGGGGGGTAATTGATTCACCCCCCTGAGCGACACGCTATGTCAACATAAGCTGTAGCATAGACATAGTCTGTTGTATGACGAGAGGTGCATGAATATATCAGAGGATCACAAGTGCCTCATTTAAGTGCTGACTTCCGTAGATTGTGTCAGTGTCGATGCATGGGGTGATCTTGTTATCTGGGTTGTCAGAAGCATGGTGGCTCCCAGGGCTGGTGAGGGGTTAGTGAAGGCAATGCCTCAGAAGGAATTCTCAGGCTAGGATGAAGGGGAGGTAACAGTTAGTTAGTTTGGGATGGTTTGTGTGGAATTGGCTGAGTGTTTGAGTGTAGGCCAGGTGTAAGTAGCTCCTGTTTGCTACATCAGACCTAACCTGAGTTTTGTCTTAGCTAAGACTTTGTCCTACAGTGCTCTTGTGCTCTGATCCCAGAATATTCTATGGCATCTGTAGAACACTAGCATGTGGTGTTGGCATGTTGAGACATTGCTCAAAAAGGGCAGAGTTAGGTTGCATTGCCAGGGAGGGGAATGTGTACTTTAACTCTGTAGTTCTTGGTTTTCAGCAGTTTGAGTGCAGCTGAACTCAGAGTTCTGAAAGGGCAGGTGACTCGGCCAGGGAACCTTAACTCTGTGTTAACAAAGCTTTTGGGCACTTAATTTCCTTGCGTTTTTTAAAATAATTTTTCAGTATCCTCATGCATCGCAGCCCAGCTTTCCCCCTCCACTCCTGCTGGATCCCTGGCAATGATTACCCTGGCCACAGAATGCACAGGCTGCATGTGAGTCCCTTCACTGTCCCAGTATCATCTTCTCGTCTCCTCGCATGTCCAACTCAGCCCTCCTCCCCACAAAGAGGTGAGTGTTGGAATGGAACCCGCTGGTGGGGGAGCTGGGGAGAAGATGCAGGAACAGTGCAGGGACTAGCATGGAGTCAGTGAGGATGTTTTTTGAAAGGGAGGCGGACACGGGAGGTGGAAATGGACGTGGGGAGTTTTGGGGGACAGATGTGAAGCCCCCCAGCATCCTCCAATACATAGTTCTGACCCCTCCTTTCCACTCCACTCTTCCCTGCATTGCTCCAACCCCCTCCCCACCATAGCTCACTGCTCTTAACCACCATATTCCCCTACCACTGCTCCGACAGCTCCAGCATTCCCTCCATCACAGCCATTGTTCTGACCACCCAAATACCCACAATGCTCAGAGTCCACCCCCTTGCACACCAGATCCACCATCCTCCTTCCCACTCCATGCCCCTGGTAAGCTTGGAAGGGTCATGGGGAAGTGGGGAGTGGTGGGATTGTGAGGAGGGCATGTATTAGTTGGAGGAAGGAAGGGGCAGGAGAGTGCAGATGTAAAGTCTCTACTCCAGATGTGGACATAGTATATGGGCCCCTTCGTTTTCAGTTTAAACCGATTTTTACCAAAAAATTCTCAGGTTTACAAAAAATATTCATTTTTTTCCGATTTTCACCCTACTTTTGTATCATTCAAATATATATATATAACTTTTTATTAGGAAAATACAATACATTGCATGAGATATATGTATTATGATAATACATTAGGCTGTGTGTATATGCAAAGCTGTCTGCTGAAGTAAGGCTATGTATCAGTCTAGAAGATACAAACAGTAAACGAACAGGTACATACAAAAGCTCTGAAGTGTGTGCGCATCTGAACATACTGATGAATCTTATACCCACCACGTACACATTTAAATCTGCTAGCAGATTACGGTTTAAAGATTTGACACACTAAAATGGGAAGAAAATGAAAATCTTCATCAGAATACATTTCAGAACGCAAGGAAGTATTGGAAAGTTAAAAAAAAAACAGGAAAAAAGGAAGAAGTTGAGAGTGTGCACTGCAAATGGCGTAGCCTATTAAACATAAATATTTATAGGCTAATAGTTCTAAGTGTACAATAGTAAATTATTTATTCAAATGAAAAGTTTTATTTGGGATAAGGCTGTCGATTAATCGCAGTTAACTCATGCGATTAACTAAAAAAAATGAATTGCAGTTAAAAAATTAATCTCGATTAATCGCACTTTTAATCACACTGTTAAACAATAGAACACCCATTGAAATTTATTAAATATTTGTGGATGTTCTTCTACATTTTCAAATATATTAATTTCAATTACAACACAGAATACAAAGTATACAGTGCTCACTTTGTCTTATTATTTTTATTACAAAAATTTGCACTGTAAAAATGATAAAGAAATAGTGCTTTTCAGTTCACCTCATACAAGTACTGTTGTGCAATCTCTTTATTGTGAAAGTGCAAATTACAAATATAGATTATTTTTGTTACATAACTGAAATCAAAATCAGAACAATGTAAAACTTTAGTGCCTATAAGTCTACTGAGTACTACTTCTTGTTCAGCCAATCACTAAGACAAACAAGTTTGTTTACATTTATAGGACATAATACTGCCTGCTTCTTATTTACAATGTCACCTGAAAGTGAGAACAGGTGTTCACATGGCACTTTTGTAGTTGCCGTTGCAAGGTATTTACCTGTCAGATATGCCAAACATCCGTATACCCCTTCATGCTTCGGCCACCATTTCAGAGGACATGCTTCCATGCTGATGATGCTCGTTTAAAAATTTTGTTAATTAAATTAGTGACTCAACTCCTTGAGGGAGAATTGTATGTCTCACCTGCATTCTGCCATATATTTCATGTTATAGCAGTCTTGGATGATGACCCAGCACATGTTAGTTTTAAGAACACTTCCACTTCAGATCTGACAAAACGCAAAGAAGGTACCAATGTGAGATTTCTAAAGATAGTTACAGCACTTGACCCAAGGTTTAAGAATCTGAAGTACCTTCCAAAATCTGAAAGGGATGAGGTATGGAACATGGAACATGCTAGGTGGAGTTCCTCAGGGATCGGTTTTGGGACCAATCTTGTTTAATCTGTTTATTACTGACCTTGGCACAAAAAGAGGGAATGTGCTAATAAAGTTTGCAGATGACACAAAGCTGGGAGGTATTGCCAGTACAGAGAAGGACCGGGATATCATACAGGAAGATCTGGATGACCTTGTAAACTGGAGTAATAGTAATAGGATGAAATTTAATAGAGAAAAGTGCAAGGTCATGCATTTAGGGATTAATAACAAGAATTTCTGTTATAAGCTTGGGACGCATCACTTGGAAGTAAAAGAGGAGGAGAAGGACCTCAGAGTATTGGTTGATCACAGGATGACTATGAGCCACTAATGTGATATGGCTGTGAAAAAAGCTAATGCGGTCTCGGGATGCATCAGGCGATGTATTTCCAGTAGAGATAAGGTGGTGTTAGTACCATTATACAAGGCACTAATGAGACCTCATCTGGAATATTATGTGCAGTTCTGGTCTCCCATATTTAAAAAGGATGAATTCAAACTGGAACAGGTACAGAGAAGGGCTACTAGAATGATCCGAGGAATGGATCCATGTCTTATGAAAGGAGACTCAAAGAGCTTGGCTTGTTTAGCCTAACCAAAAGAAGGCTGAGGGGAGATATGATTGCTCTCTATAAATATATCAGAGGGATAAATATCAGGGAGGGAGAGGAATTATTTAAGCTCAGTACCAATGTGGGCACAAGAACAAATGGATATAAACTGGCCATCAGGAAGTTTAGACTTGAAATTAGATGAAAGTTTCTAACCATCGGTTGAGTGAACTTCTGGAATAGCCTTCCAAGCCTTCCAAGGGAAGCAGTGGGGGCAAAAGACATATCTGGCTTCAAGACTAAGCTTGATAAGTTTATGGAGGGGATGGTATGATGGGATAGCCTAATTTTGGCAATTAATTGATCTTTGACTATTAGTGGTAAATAGGCCCAATGGCCTGTGATGGGATGTCAGATGGGGTGGGATCTGAGTTACTACAGAGAATTCTTTCCTGGGTGTCTGGCTGGTCAGTCTTGCCCACATGCTCAGGGTTTAGCTGATCGCCATATTTGGGGTCAGGAAGGAATTTTCCTCCAGGGCAGATTGGCAGAGGCCCTGGAGGGTTTTTGCATTCCTCTGCAGCGTGGGGCACGGGTCACTTGCTGGAGGATTCTCTGCATCTTGAAGTCTTTAATCCACGATTTGAGGACTTCAATAGCTCAGACATAGGTTAGGGGTTTGTTATAGGAGTGGGTGGATGAGATTCTGTGGCCTGCGTTGTGCAGGAGGTCAGACTAGATGGTCACTTCTGACCTTAAAGTCTTAAAGTCTATGCTTTCAGAAGTCTTAAAAGAGCAACACTCCAATGTGGAAACTATAGAACCCAAATCACCAAAAAAGAAAATCAACCTTCTGCTGGTGGTATCTGACTCGGATGATGAAAATGGACATACATTGGTCTGCACTGCTTTGGATTATTATTGAGCAGAACCCACCATCAGCATGGATGCATATCCTCTGGAAAGGTGGTTGAAGAATGAAGAGACATATGAATCTTGAGCGCATCTGGCATGTAAATGTCTTGTGACGCCGGCTACAACATTGCCATGGGAACGCCTGTGCTCACTTTCAAATGACATTGTAAACAAGAAGTGGGGCAGCATTAACTCCTGTAAATTGTAACCAAACTCGTTTGTCTGAGCGATTGGCTGAACAAGAAGTAAGACTAAGTGGACTTGTAGGCTCTTAAGTTTTACATTGTTTTGTTTTTGAATGCAGTTATTTTTTGTACATATGTTTTTTGTACATATTTCTACCTGTGTAAGTTGAACTTTCATGATAAAGAGACTGCACTATAGTAGTTGTATTAGGTGAACTGAAAAATATTATTTCTTGTTTTTTACAGTGCAAATATTTGTAATAAATAATAAATATAAAGTGAGCACTGTACACTTTGTATTCAGAGTTGTAATTAAAATCAATAGATTTTGAAATGTAGAAAACATCCCAAAATATTTAAATAAATGGTATTCTATTATTATTTAACATCACGATTGTGATTAATTTTTTTAATCGCTTCACAGCCCTAATTTGTGGATTAAAGATACTGTATATTGTTTTCTTAAACTCAGAAGTGTTTTGCATTCTGTTTTAATTCCGCAGGAAACCATATTGATGAATGGAATTCAAAGCATTAATCAACTGAATACTTTCCCCCCGTCTTTCCGTCCACCAAAATAAACCCCAGTATTTATCCAGAAAAATTATTTATAGTTTTTTGCACTGATTTTCACCTGTTTTTGTTGTTGTGGGAATAAATACTGATAAATTCCCGGGAAAAATTAAATGAAATAAAAATGGAAAATGAAGGGCCCCTACAATTACAACACTGTGAAATTTCACACATAAATATCTTAGATTATTAAATTTATGGTTTTTTAAATCCTATGACCATGAAATTGACCACAATGGACTGTGAATTTGGTAGGGCCCTAGGTATAGGTGTGCAGAGGTTTGGGGGGAAAGAGCTGACGCCCTTGCTACATATCCCACTACACAGCTCTGACCCCTTTCTTTCCTCCCCCCACTCCTCTGCATCACCCCTTCTCCCCCTAGAAGCAGCTGCATCGAGGGAAAGGATGAGCCTGGAGCTCCTTCCCCACATCTAGCGGCAGCATAGGGAAGCTGGTGGCTCCGTTGTCCCCTCATACTAGGGTGATCAGATGTCCTCTTTTTAATGGGACAGTCTTGTATTTAAGCCCTCCTGCAGGTGTCCTGACTTTTTCTTAAAAACGGGCAAATTGCCCCATAATTTCTGCCGCCTCCCCCCATCAGTACTGGTGGGTCCTGCTGCTGGCTGGATCCCTGCTCGCCAGCTGCCTGCTGAGTGGGGTGGTCCAAAGGCCAACGATAGGGGTTGTAAAACTAGAGGTGGGGCAAAGCTGCAGTGTGTGTGGCCAGGCCTCTCCCACTGCTGGTCCGTCAGCATGTGCCGGCTCTGGAGTGTGGGGGGAAGTGATTTCCAGCCTGTTTCCCCCCACCCCCATCTTCAGGCTTCACAGCAGCCGGGCTTAGCACCCTCTTCACCTGTCCCACTCCAACCCTGGGTCCTGCCCCCAGGGAGTGTGAGGCTGTAATGTCCCCAGGCACCCTCCCCTCCCGAGCCACCTCTCTGGGCAGGTTAGCTGAAGCCCCTGCAGTCAGGTTCCCTGGGCCCTGGTGCACAGTGGCTTTCCTTAGGGCTTAACCCCTTCCTGCCTGTGCTGTAGCTGGCAGGGGGGACAGGGACAGCACAGAAGGCGGCTGGGTTATGTTAGTAACCAACAGCAGCCTGGAGGTGTTAGCTGTCTTTTGGCACGGTGCGGGCAGGAAGGGACACGCTGCTTCCAGCCCATGGGGTAGGGGAGGAGGAGGAGGAGGAGAAGAGATGAGCTCTGCAAAGGCATGGGCCGGGTCATCCCTTCCTCCCTCCATCCCCTGCCGCTGGAAGTAGCTCCCGTCCCTTCCATCCTGCACAGTGCCGATAGGCTGCTGCTGGCCACATTCTGGTGTGAATCCTGGCAGAAATCTGTGGAGGGGGGCATGTGACCCTGTGTGCCTCCCCCCGCCCCCCAAGTATTCCCTTGGGAAGATGCGACACCAGGTACTGGGGGCCCAGGCAGGCATGGAGGGTGGAGCGTGCCAGGCAGGGAGGGTCAGTCACCTCTCCTCCCCCCGTGTGAGAGAGGTACGTGTGTGTGCGTCACCTCTCCCCGTGAGTGTGTGTGTGGGGGGGGTAGGGGTGTGTGTATCATCCCTCCCTGTGTGAACCTTAAAGCCTTAAAGGTAAGAAGGTAAATAAAAATAATCCAACTACACAGTATTTCTTTTTAACGGGGGCTCAATCAACTTAATGTTAATCTGAATGTTTGTACTGCATAGGTCTGCCTGATTGCCATTGAGCTCGCTTGAATACAAATAATTTTACCAGGTGCTCCTTATTCAGGAAAGGGAAATATGGTCACCCTGCCTCAAACCCAGCTCACATTGGGGCAGACAGAGGGGCTTAGCACCCAGAGGGGCAGGGCCCTATTGGATGCTGGCTGACATGGGGTGGGGGGGTGCTAGGAAGAGGAGCACAGACTTCCCTGGAGGGACGGGGTCTCCCTGGTCCTGCCTTACTCACAGAGATTCAGAAAGAGAGGCCAGACCCCTCCCCCAGAGAGGAGTAAAGCCTCCCAAATCACTTGAGGGAAAGGGAGAAGGGTTTGGACCCCCATAGGGGCAGGGCCCTCCAGATCCCAACTCACACATGGATGACCCCAGCCCTCCTTAGGTTTCAGGATTATTGCTGCCCTATTCTCCCACACCCTTGGCATGTGGGATATGTCTCCCCCCCACCCTTTGGCCCTTGCCCAGAGGGATGGGAGGCATCTCCACCTATTCCCCAACCACTAAGCCTGGGCAGGATGAGGAGAGTCGGGGAGGAGCAGGAGTGGCTGTGGTGATGGCTTCCAAGAGGAGGGGGGAATGTGGGGTTGACAGGCTGCCACTTCTCCTGTCACCCACTTTCATGTCCCCCACCCCTACTGCCCATCCCCACTTATCCTGTCTCAGTTTGGGGAGGATCAGACCCATAGTTTGAGCCCCAAGTGTGGGCAAGAAAGAAGAACCAAGTAATTTTGTAAATAGCTGTTTTTTTAGGGGGGCTGTATCTTGGGAACCTGCAGCTCATATTACCCCAAATTTGGACCCGTAACCCTATCGCACATTCCCTTACGGCACAGGAAATTTCAAGACAATCTGAGATAGCAAATAGATTTTAGAGCACTTAGAACTGTTATCTTTTAAACAGTGATTCAACCTTAACTATAGCAAAGCTGCTGGTTCACACTAGGAGAGCTGCCAGGCCACTAAAATAAATATAAAAACATAATTTTGAAATTAGAAAAGGATATGTTATTGTCTAGTGATAGACTTCTTCCTGAGAGCACAGTAACATACAGCACTCTGGCAATATGACATAAAGCGAAATGCACGACATGTGTAGTCCTGGAACAAGTGCATCTTGTTCCAGCATGGCCCTTCATGTCTCCTGTTTGAGGCCTATGGATTGACTAGAATTAGGGCAGATATCTTCCACCTTGCCTTTCCCTTTTGACTGTAGTTTTCTGGCATGAGTTTATGAACAAGTGACAGCAGAATTAAGCCATTAAAAGGGACTTGCTTTCTAAAATATAACTGTCTTCAGCGTGATGCCTGCTAATATTAATGCAACTAACACAATTACCGGAAAGCTCTGGACATTACATTTGATAAAACTAAAAATCTGATGGGTATATAAAATGTGGTTATTTCTGTAATCTGCTCAGACTTTACTTTTCATTTGTTCCCTTTTGTAATAACAAACAGATTAGCAACATTTCCATCCAGGGGCAGGACTTTGGAGAGTCTATCTTTGAGCCCGGCATGACTTTTGCTCTTGCACACTTCGATGGCGTGCTGGGTTTAGGATACCCTTCTTTAGCAGTTGGCAGTGCTCTTCCAGTATTTGACAGCATAATCAACCAACGTCTGGTAGAGAAGCCAGTGTTTTCCTTCCACTTGATCAGGTCAGTTTTTAACACTGAATAAAGGGACACTGTCAAAAGAAGCAAATTTTAACTGTAGATTAAGAAAACCATCCATTTGTATACGTTTCATCTCCAGAAAGGACATTTTCAGGAGTAGGTCTAGATAGAAGCACCAGTGGGGGAGCATAGTAACTAAAATCATATTTACAGAAATGCTATTAAACGTATATCGTTAAAATAAACACTTGTAGATGCACAATTAATGCGCAAACCACTGAGAACTCCAAAGAAGTGTCTTGATTTAATAATCTGATGAACGGTCTACATCTGAACTATTTTTAAAATCAAAAATTGACTTTTTAAAAAGATAAGATGCAAAAGGAAACTTTTCATTGTTTTGAAAATTTCCAATTATTGGATTTTAACTTTTTTAAAAATCCACTTTTTTGTTTGAAACAACAATAACAAAATAGTCAGTTTAATATTTTAGGCTGTTTTTCCATTTTTACACCCTCCCCTTTTCTTTTTTGCATTTTGTCACTGAAAAAACGGGTGAAAGGGAAGAAGAAAAAACTAATTTATTTTGTTGAATCAGAAAATTTAGAAAATGTTTACAAAGCATATTTACCGGCTTTTGACCAGTGCTAATAGGAACATCTGACTTTCTTACAGTGTCTTGGGCACTCATAGGGTTGCTTCATCAGTTAGTAGGAGATGAACAGAACTGCAGCCCCGCAGTTGAGCGACTGTATTTCAGAAGAAAAGGGGCTATGTTCTAATCTCAGTCACACCTAGAATAACTCCATTTCAATCACTAGATTTACCCCAGATTTATACTGGGGTAAACGAAACCAGAAACTGGCCTGAGGCACTTGTTTCTAATCTCACTCCTAAACCCTCTACAACCCCTAACATTTTTAGTAAGGGGTTTAGACTGGAGGCTCTGATTTGGGGCCATCTCTAGGTATAATTATAAAATTAGAAGTTTTAGACTTCCATTGCAACATACACATTTGAAAAAGACATGAAAGGGTTGGAATTGAAAGCTGATTTCTCCCCCCTACCCCCATATCCCACTTAAATTGTATGTCATCCAGTTTACATATTTATTTGTTTTACATTTTTAGAGGAGACGACCTTGAAAATGGTGGTGAACTGATACTGGGGGGTATAGACCAGTCGCTCTACAAAGGTTCAATTCACTGGGTTCCAGTTACTGAGAAAAGCTACTGGCAAATTCATGTTAACAAGTACGTTTGCATGTCTATAAATCTGATGAAACTGTGCCTCTCTGTGTAAGCCCATTAAAATCCCAGGACATCTGTGCTACAGTGGCCATCCTGGATATACTGCCTCCCAAAAACAGTGCTTCTGGGAAAGACCTGAAGATAATTAGTGTATCCTGTGCTCCTACTAATATTACGGGAAGCACTAACTTTGGTGACTGGTACTCGGAGGAGTGTCCTTTATTAGCAGGTCATATTAAGGGCCTAATGGACATCCGTGGGAATTATGGGAATCCTTACTCTCCTGGGTAAGGGATATTCATGTGATCTGCTGTTCAATTCCTGGCTTGCCACAGCCTTCCTGTGTGACAGCAATCTAGTCACGTAGGCCATGTCTACACTAGAGAGTTTACAGTGGCGCAGCTGTACCTATGCACCTGGGCCGCAGTAAGCTCCCTTGTGTAGCTGCTCTGTGCCAACAGGAGAGAGCTCTCCTCTCGACATAATTACTCCTACCCCAGCGAGCGGCAATAGCTATGTTAGCGGGAGAAGCTCTCCCACAAACATAGCGCTTTCCACACTGGCACTTATGTTGGTGTAACATATGTCGCTCGGGGGTAGGGGTGGGGCGTTTTTTCCCATCCCTGTGCGGCTCAAGTCATACTGATATAAGTGATAGTGTAGACATGGCTTTAGCCTTGCTGTTCCTACTATTTAAAATGATTGTAATAATAACAGTTCCCAACCTTGAATACATTCATCGATGTTTGTGAGATGCTCAGAGGATATATTGGTTGGGGTCAGATCAGTGATAGACCTTCAACTCCTACACATTCAGAAGAGCAGATGACACACACACAAATTATTTCCAAAGCTCTCTTGCCCTAGTTTTCTGTGAATGCTATCCTTCTTTTGGAATCAGGACACCCTAAAGTTAGTATAAATTTTGAACCAGATGCTTGTATTTTAACTGGCAGCATAGACTTGCTTAAATTCCCTGATAACTGTGTCATCACTCTTAGTGTATCTGCACTCTCTGTTTAAAGTGTATGTGTTTTGGTTTTTCCACATGCAGCGTGAAAATCCAGGGACGGGTTGCGCTTTGCTTCCATGGTTGTGAAGCCATTGTTGATTCAGGCACTTCTCTTATTACTGGCCCCTCTTTACAAATAAGACAACTACAGGAGCATATTGGGGCCAGTCCAACACAAACTGGAGAGGTAAAAACCATAGAGCGGGACAAAAAACTCAGAGGAAGTGAAGTAATGATTTGATACAAATGCTCATGTGAGGGGGGCAGGGAAAGAGATAAAATGATTAAAATTAGGCACAAAGTAGGCACTAGGAGAAAAGCTTGCTGCTTGTACAGCTGAAATCAGGGCAAGATATTTGATTTGTATTGTTTTTATCCTTCCCCGCCACCTTTGTTTGCAAGATATCTCTTCCCTCATTAATGACACATGGATCTAGTAGAAGCATCTGTTTATGGTAATGTTCTGTTAAAGTTGCTCAGATGATCATGACATCATATGACCGATCAAGTTGCAGTGGGGGAGGTTTAGATTGGATATTAGGAAAAACTTTTTCACTAAGAGGGTGGTGAAACACTGGAATGCATTACCTAGGGAGGTGGTAGAATCTCCTTCCTTAGAGGTTTTTAAGGTCAGGCTTGACAAAGCCCTGGCTGGGATGATTTAACTGGGAATTGGTCCTGCTTCAAGCAGGGGGTTGGACTAGATGACCTTCTGGGGTCCCTTCCAACCCTGATATGCTATGATTCTATGATACTACCTTGTAAAACAAGAGAGAATTACCTTTCCTAGGTCATATGGCATGACTGTTAACTCCTTAAAGTCCAGAGCAGTTCCAGGCTGACTGACCGTCAGAATCCAGAAATTAAGATAAAAAGACATGTAATAATTCCATCGAAGGGCACAGGTGTCAGCTGAGCTTATGAGAGCTAACATTGTTGTTACCAGGGCCCCTAGAGGGGGACACAGTTCTATCATTCAAAATATTCTCGTTCATTTGCATGTAACATCCCAATCCCTGTCTTCCATCCCCCTTCTCTCCCTTGCCTCTCTCATTCCTCCCTTTCTTCCCTGCTCTACCCCTCCTCCCACTTTCTTCTTCCCTCCATTTTCCCTTTTCTCCTCCCTGCTGCTGCATCTTCACCTTCTACAGCATCCTGCTGCCGTCTCCTCCATGCTCCGAGTCTCCTTTCCTCTCAATCTCCAATTGCTCCCTGCCACCCCCTGCTTTCCACATGTGGCTCACTCTCGCCTATCTCCCTGCTTCTGTTCCACTCCCCGCTAGGCCACTCCCGCCCAGCTGCTGCCACTCTCATCCTCTGATGCTTTCTAGGGTTGCCAACTTTCCAGTCTCTGGAAGCTAGACACCCCTGCTCCACCCCCTCCTCTGAGGCCCGCCCCCTGCTCCACCCCCTCCCCCAAGGTCCCGCCCTCTGCTCACTCCTCCCCCTCCAGCCCGGCACCCAGCCTAGGGACTGCAGTACTCCCTCCTACCGCTGCGCCTGCCCCTGCCCCTCGGCCCATTCGGCAGGGAGCCAGACCCAGGCAGGGAGCGGAAGGGCCGGGGCCACGCTCTGGGGCGGCGTGAGAGTGCAGCCAGCGCGGTAGCTGGCTGCAAGAGAGAGTCTGGCCGCGAGAGGCGGCAGCGGCGGCAGTGGGTGGCGGACAGGGCACCTCTCCCCAACCTGGTGGGCCAGTTTTTTTTGGGGGGGGGGGGCACTTGCTCGCCCATGTCCCCCCCCCCCCCACATGTTGCCCCTGCAGATGGCAACCAGACTTTTGGTGCCTGGTCAGTGTTTCCAACCAGACACTTTCAGGTGCCGTTTTTGACTGGACTTTCCAGTCGAGAACCAGACACCTGGCAACCCTCATGCTTTCCCTCCTATGTGCAGCTTCACCATCTCCTTCAGGGACCTCTCCTTTGATGTCCAAACAGCTTTGCTTCCTCACTTTGAGGCTTGTCAGTCTGCCTGCTTGCAGCCATATTCATTCCTATATGCATTGAAATGGTAGTCCCACATAGTCTGGGAGCATGTGTAATGCCATGGGCAAGTTAATGATAGAAAGGTAAGGGAGATGTCATTTGATTCGTAAAAATCTACAGAATCATAATTTCCATGGTACCACCCTCTGCACTGATTAGGGGGACTCGCTGCCCCCACCCCCACCTCTCTGGTTCACAGCTCCAGGTCCTCTAGTTGATGGAGATTTATTATACATGAAGATGGTAGAGTCTTTGCTGCTCTTTATTTGATCTGTCAGGACAGCTGATTGGACTTTGCACCTCACAGTACTGGAAGACTTTGTGAAATACTTTTTTGCTTAAGATTTAACGAATTATTATGTATGATTGCTTGGTACCTCAGTGAAATAAGAGGTGTAGAAAAAGTTTGACACTGACATATGGGAGGCATTTTGAAAAGGAAATTGGGTTGTTCAAAGATCACCAGTTCCCTTTTGTGGACTTGGTTCAGATGAAGCCCTAGAACAGTGGTTCTCAAACTTTTGTACTGGTGACCCCTTTCAAATAGCAAGCCTCTGAGTGTGACCCCCCCCCTTTATAAATTAAAAACATTTTAAAATATATTTAACACCATTATAAATGCTGAATGCAAAATGGGGTTTGGGGTGGAGGCTGACAGCTCGTGATGCCCCATGTAATAACCTCTCAACCCCCTGAGAGGTCCTGACTCCCAGTTTGAGAATCCCTGCCCTAGAGCATGAAAACAGAGCAATGAAATTCACAGGAGGGATTGCTGGGCATAACACAACATCCAAATGTTCTATCCCAGTTTTTCCTGACAACCCCAGCACTCTGCTGAATTTTGAACGAAATATTAAGCAAGGCTGGGATGACTTCCCCAGAAGTAACCAAGCACCATCTGGACTCATTATATGCTGTTAAATGCCAAGAAGTGGTAATTTTAAAGCTACAGGGTGAGCTTACTTGCACAGGCCATTCATGTATGATGGACTGGAGCTCATTAATACCATGATGAAAGCAGTCTTCAGTGATGAGATAGCTAACGATGTCAGCTGAATGGATACTTTGGGTCATGACTTGTATGAAGCCTTCAAAACCTAAAGAATTATTCAAGGCTCCATCAATCAATGGGCTACAATCAAGAAGAACAGACTAAAGCTGTGGTTGAATGCAAAGAAGGAAGTCAGAGTGAAGGTAGCAGGGACTATGACGGAGCTAACCGCAGACAAGTTATCGCTTACTTGTTTCCTGGTCGTGTCCAGATCTCAGCATGATGTTGATCTAAGTGAGACTTTGGGAAATTACAAGTTCTCCATGGGACCACAATCGATGTTTGAATGTGATGGAATAATGCATCTGTGCCAGGCAGAAAGCAAACTAATTCACATTTTGCATGGTCTTCCTAAGCCAGTACCTACTAACAACGTGACAAGTATCTTATGCCAGCAGAGGCTTTTTAGCATAGCAATCACAGATGATATGGCTGAGGTACAACCTCTCAGTGAATCAGAAACAGTTAAAACCTGCCAAGATTTGGCTGTACATAAGAACAGCCATACTGGGTCAGACCAAAGGTCCATCTAGTCCAGTATCCTGTCTTCTGACAGTGGCCAATGCCAGGTGCCCCAGAGGGAATGAGCAGGTAATCATCAAGTGATCCATTCCCTGTCGCTCATTCCCAGCTTCTGGCAAACAGAGACTAGGGACACCATCCCTGCCCATCCTGATTAACAGCCATTGATGGACCTATCCTCCATGAATTTATCTAGTTCTTTTTTGAACCCTGTTATAGTCTTGGCCTTCACAACATCCTACGGCAAAGAGTTCCACAGGTTGACTGAGTGTTGTATGAAAAAATACTTCCTTTTCTTTGTTTTAAATCTGCTGCCTATTAATTTAATTTGGTGACCCCTAGTTTGTGTGTTATGGGAAGGAGTAAATAACACTTCCTTATCTACTTTCTCCAAAGCAGTCATGATTTTATAGACCTTAAGCATATCCCACCTTAGCTATCTCTTTTCCAAGCTGAAAAGTCCCAGTCTTATTAATCTCTCCTCAAATGGAAACCATTTCATACTCCTAATAATTTTTTGTTGCCCTTTTCTGAACCTTTTCCAAGTCCAATAGTATTCAAGAAGTGGACATACCATGGATTTACATAGAGGCAATATGATATTTTCTGTCTTATTATCTATCCATTTCCCAATTATTCCCAACATTGTTAGCTTTTTGGACTGCCCCTGCACGCTGAGTGGATGTTTTCAGAGAACTATCCACAATGACTCCAAGATCTGGTATTGCCCCTGTCCAATACAAAGTCACTGACTCCATGAACATTTCCAATGTCATCATGAAGAAGCTACTGTCTCGTATCCCCATGAAGGATGAACTAACCTCATACCTTGCAGGAAAAATACTCCAGTGTGCAAATAATTGTTCAAAGAATTTCACGGTCACATGGCATAATGAAGCAGCTGCCTCACACTGTTCAGTGCAGTTTCTTCATAGTTCCCATGAGGAGTCTGACACTAAAATTACCTTGCATGTCATCAGTGCCACAGAAAGAGATGCTACTAAACTCTAGGTTTTTGCACAAGACACAGATGTTCTAGAGCTCTCCATGAGTTGCTACCCAAGGCTTCCGCAAGATCCTGGTTTTGCACCTGCTGCTCGGAAACAGAATTGCAGTACATAGGTGCCACAAGTACTCCTTTTCTTCCTTCAGAGCTATGTTCCTATCATGCAAACCATTAAAAGCTGCAGCACTGCTTGGTTTCCATGCTCTTTCAGGATATGACACTACTGGAAGACGTGCTGGAAAGACCAGATTATCATACTGGAAGGCATCTGAGTCAGCATTCAAAGACTTTCTCTTCACTCTGAAGGTGTTCGGAATGGCTGACACAGTCACTGATGAGGTCATAAATGCACTGGAGCCATTCATATGCCAACTTTACCATTTGAAGACCAACATTATGATACTTGCAGAGCTACATAGGTGGATGTTTTCAAGAAGCAAGCAGAGAAAAATTGCTTGCTGATAAGGGGTGCATTTATATGTGCTATCAAGAGGGTGAATTATCAAGCAATGGAATGGCTTTAGGGTGATTGAGCATGTCCAAAACTACCTTCCTTTATAGGGCATGGATGGGTCTTGAAGGAGGGACTGATCACATCGGTTATGTGTAAAATACCACGTGTTCCCAAATCAGTCCTTCAGCTAATCAAATACCTGTGTGCAAAGAACAGATGCTCATTGTCCTGCAAATGTTTGGCCAGCAGCCTGCCTTGCACGGAGAGGTGCAAGTGCAGCACGGACGAGGATCAGCGTGACAATGTATCTAGCAGTGGAGTAGATGGAGATGACACTGATGATGACTTTGATGAATAAATGTTTTCAGTCCTTTCATGTCAAGGCAACTTACCTAGGATTACCAAAGGTCAATTTATCATAGAATCATAGAATATCAGGGTTGGAAGGGACCTCAGGAGGTCATCTAGTTCAACCCCCTGCTCAAAGCAGGACCGATCCCCGACTAAATCATCCCAGCCAGAGCTTTGTCAAGCCTGACCTTAAAAACTTCTAGGGAAGGAGATTCCACCACCTCCCTAGGTAACGCATTCCAGTGTTTCTCCACCCTCATAGTGAAAAAGTTTTTCCTAATATCCAACCTAAATCTCCCTCACTGCAACTTGAGACCATTACTCCTTGTTCCGTCATCTGCTACCACTGAGAACAGTCTAGAGCCATCCTCTTTGGAACCCCCTTTCAGGTAGTTGAAAGCAGCTATCAAATCCCCCCTCATTCTTCCCTTCTGAAGACTAAACATCCCCAGTTCCCTCAGCCTCTCCTCATAAGTCATGTGTTCCAGTCCCCTAATCATTGTTAAAGTATAATTTAGAAAGCATTGATTTTTAAATACACACACACACACACACACACACACACACACACACACACACACACACACACACACACACACACACACACACACACACACACACACACACACACACGTTCTAGGTTTGTCATGTTTGGTACCATTATGTTTGTGGGGGGAAAGGGCTTTCGAAATATACCCAACTCAAACCTTTTCCAATGACCTTGTATTATCAAAATTTCCACCAACCAGAGGACCTGAGGCAAGGGAGTCTCTTCTACCCTGGTGCAGAAGGTGACATCATTGAAATTATGATGCTATAGATTTTATGAATCAAATAATATTCCTTTATCTTTTAATTACTAACTTGCCCACAGAATGGGATTTTACTACATTGTGTTCCCAAACTAATATTGCTGAGCTGTCATGCATGGAGTGGTGTATGAAAACACTGCCACCTTGAGGTGTATTATAAATAGAATACAATGCCAACAAATTGATTATAACACATTATGACAATGCTATAAAGTCGAGTCCATTTCAGTGCTTCAGCTTCTCTCTCTGATGTGTTTCACATTTCCCATGTACTTCATGGGTAAAACAAAACTATGAGCTCACATGGCCTGAACTTGTTCTCAACACATTTGTGGTGTAAATGGAGCTACATTTTGGCTTGAGCTGGGAGAAAATTTTTCAGCGAAATTTTTTTTCTGTTAAAAAAAAAATTGAGATTCAGCCACATCAGAAGGTTTTGTGAATTTGTGTGGGTTTCACTGAATTGTTCATGTTGAGGGGGAAAGTTTCCAAAAATGTCAAACTGAAGCATTGTGATTTTTTCAATTGAAAAGACTTTTTGTTAGGAAATTGCCTTCAATTTTTTTTTTTTAAATCTAAAACATTAAAAACACTCAAAATTGAAATGAAACATTTTGGTTGAAATGAAATGTTTTGTTCGACCCACAACACGTTTTTTTTTAGACCTTTCAATTCACCAAAAATGAAAAAAAAATTTGTTTTGTTTTGTTTTGCAATTGGCAGTGAACTGAAAAATCTATTACTTGCCCAGCTCTAATTTATGACCCCCATAGCCCACTAGGCATTATCTTGGCTCTGTTATATTGTGTGTGTATATATATATATATCACAATATGCTCTGCAGCTCTACTTAGCTCTTGTTTTCCAGAATGCACTCGACAGACATACAAAATACTTGGGGAATATATTTTCATAAACTAGATTTTTAAAAATATTCCTTCTGTTGTAGAACAATAAGCCAAAACACTATAGCTTACAACAAAGCTCCCAGAGGGTATCAGACCATCCTTTGGAATGGTCAAAAGTTATTTTCATTTTTTTAATGAATGGAGCAACTGGAGAGGCAATAAATAAATAAAATAAAAAACCCAACAAAACAAAAACAACAACAACAACAAAACAAATCCCACACAAACACGCAACAAAACCCCCTCTCATATATTCACTGTGAATTAGTGTAATATTTACAGCAATGACTGGGCGGGCATTTTAGATTGTGATCTATCAGCTGTTCTTGGAATTCCACTTTAGTGTAGTATAATATAGAATACAATATGTCCCACAGACCTTCTGGATGGATTTCCTTCCTCTGAAAATATGATGTTCCTGCACAGTATGGGGAAAGTTGTGGCTGTAAGTCACTCACTGTGGAGGCTCTAAGGAGAGAAAACATACTGGAGGCAGCTCCCAGGACTGTGCCTGTGGCAGGCTTCTGGGAGCATTGGAATTGTGCACTTAGCAGCACCCATTACAAGAGGCAATGAGAACTCATGCTGGAGCCTGGGTTTGCTTGCATATGTGGAAGGAGGAGGAGCCATGTCCTTAGAGACCCCTCCATTTTGGACATCACTAGCCTTGCTGTCAGCCCTAGATTCCATTGGTCCTTGGGTGCTGGGAGTCTGAGAAGTCTGTGATCAACTCTGTGTATTAGCTCAAAGAGCAGGAGGCCTCCTTATACATTCCCACCACTTGCACTCCTGTGCAGGACTATAATATAGTCTTGTACGTTGACCATTAGGTCTGAAAAAAAATAAATGACAATACCAAACCGGACTGCAAAGGTTGATATTCTGGTTGCTAGGTTGATAGACTGATTATAATTTTGAATAAAAAGGCAATGTAAAAAAACCCAAACAAACAAACCCCAAGTCAACCAATATATTGTGTTATAGTTTGTTGTAGACTGCAGGAGACTGTCAAGCCTGCCACATATAAGTTTCACCATTGGACACAGAGAATACACGTTAACAGCAAAAGAGTATATAATAAAGGTATGTATATAAATTCTAAGAAATGGTATCTACCAAATTATGAGATGATAATATGTAATTCTACATAGAAATGTGTTTTTAATTTCAGGAAACCATAGAAGAAAAAACCGTGTGCATCAGTGGCTTTCAGTCTCTGGATATTGCCACTCACTCTGGCCAGCTATGGATTTTAGGAGATGTATTCATGTCTGCGTTTTACTGTGTTTTTGACCGTGGAAATGATAGAGTGGGATTTGCAAAAACCTCTCAAAGAAGGGAGCGTTCCTGAGGCCCTAATGGCATCAGTTCTGCCTTAAACACATGTTATTTCAGGGTTATGAGATGAGCCTGAACTAAAACCCTGGATCTGAATATTGCTCCCAACAAATTTCACATGGGTTTAGGGGGGGTTTGAAATTGAATTCAGAATACAAATTTTGTAGCTAGGTTCCATTTCTATACATTTGCAACAGACACATTTATTTCTAAATCAGTGATTGAAAGACCAAAAGCCCTAGGAAGGACTGTGTCAAAAAACCTAGTAAATGCCTGTACAACAACTTGCCTGTAGGATTTGCATTGGGGTGGGAGGGAAAGTGTGCTTGGGAGAAGACTGCTAAATAATGCAAAGATGATTGTGTATCAGTTGCAGTTATGGGAACCTAATCTGACTAGTGTTGGGTATTTCTCTTCCTTTGCTCGTCAGTTTCAGCCTTCTAGTTCCTGACTAAATATTTTCTTTTTATCATTTAATTATTGCTTTTATTTTTCTCATTATTTGCTGGGGTTTGTTCCACCCTTTCTCCCTCTGTCCTTTATAGATACTCTTTATGTGCACAAAGCCTCAATCCCTACTCTTTTTACTACCATCACTTAAATGTGATTTCCTGTTTCTTACTTATTCTCTCTGACTTGTCTTTTTCCTCAGGTAAATTCTTTTTCTACACTTTCTTTTTCTTTATTAGGCTAGAGTTTTGCAATTACTGGGTCTTCAGTCAGCAAAGATGCTGGAACTAGGGGTGCCGCCCCCTGGCTCAAAGTAGTTTCCATTCTATACAGTGTTTACAGTTTGGTTCAATGGTTCTCAGTACCCCCACTATAAAAATTGTTCCCGCACCACTGTCAGTCAGATGCTGTCTTTAGTGCCTGACATCTCCACACCTTGATGGATTGAAACAGCTGGGATTGGCATCCACTTGCATGGCAAGAAATCCAACAGTGAAGCTTGTATTGCACAATTGCTGCAAAGAGAGAGACTGTTATGTGGGAATGACACTATAGCATCACCTTGTTCCACGAAAGATACAAAAATAGGACCCCAATGTAGACCTGTGCTGTTCCACATTTTGAGAGACATCATTAGCAGCAGTTTTGACTGAGATGCAAAATAGTTCCGAGCCATAGGTAGCCAAGCTGTCCTCTGTTGTGTAATTGATTGAACAATAATGAATTCATCTGATTTATACCTATTTGAATATTCATCTTGCTTGTTAGATCTGATTCTAGCTATTAACATACAAATGAATAAAATTTGATCAAGAAAAATTGGTTTGAGTTGGTGCTTTTTTCATTTCATTTTACATTTTCTTTCAATGGAAAATAAGTTAACTAGGGCCATGTTAACGAAAAAAAGGAAGGGAAAATCCCAAAGACATCATAAGGGAGGGGAGGGAAGTGCACAGCCAAGCAACATGCTCCAAATGCCTCTTCCTCTCCTCCAAGAGCCATTGAATGTCCATTTGTGGCGATCCCACATGCTCAGAAGTCTGCTGGGGATGATCAGGCCTTTGTGGGGACAGGTTGTAGGGCGGGACAGCTGTTGTAGGTAACATATTGCTCACGCAAGCAGAAGGATACCTGTCCCCAAGTTGATTTTCAAGGATTACATAAATCCTTCAGTCTGTTTTTGCCTGCAGCATATGCCCAGGAAAAGCTTTGTTACTTTAGTTTCCTGATATGCAGTCTAACTGTTGGTCTAGAAGATTAAGTATTGTGAAGGGCTGATTTATGTGGGTTCTAAATGTGCTATGGCTCCCACTTGACCAGGAAGTGTGGAGTAGTCTCATACAGTGACTACTCTTTCTTGGCTGCCACCTGACATGATCAGGGCAGCTTCTCACTGGTTGCCGCACCCACTAGCATCACACCCTGTGTGGGAAGCATTCTGCAGAGAGGTGGCCCAGCAGCTGCAGGCAGAGGCAGATTAAGATTTATTGGAGCCCTGGTCACAAAGAACATTTTGGACTCCCAGACCCCAGGGGGAACTGGAACTCGGGGGGGGGGGGACAGACAGTAGGACATGGCCCCCGACTTTTTAACATGGGCATAGTAGCCTTGGGCAGGCATGGTGGCAGTGGTAGGGGCTGCACTTCACAGTGGGGGAGCTGATTAAGATGATTAGCTCCCCTGGTATGAAGCACAGCCCCTGCTAGTTCTTCCCAGTGGGGGGCTGATATGGGCCTTAGCCCTGCCCTCGCCATGGGACCCTGTCCCCTGCCCCTCCTCTCCCCCCAGGCCCCACCCCCTGGCCAGTGCGGAAGCTGGAACCAGGCAGTAGTAAGAGCTTCCCAGGAATCCCTGGACCCTCCACCTGCCATGGGTTGCACTCCCGGGGGGTGGGGACATGGACCAGGGTCTGCTCTTTGGCAGCCTAACCCCCTGCCCAGGACAGGTAGAAGGTCCGGGGTCCCTAGGCAGCTCTTACCATTGCATGGCTCCAGCTTCTGGCCTGGCCAGATGGTGGGGCCCCGGGGGCAGAGGAGGAACAGGGGCCAGGGCTACAGTTCCAGTGCAGGTGGTCCCCTCTACTTCCACACACATTCTGGTGCTCCTATAGGGGCCCACAAATTAGCCAGGACCCTGTGGGCTTGTGCGTTAATCCATCACTGGCTGCCGGCGGTTTAAGCAGGTACTGTTCCTCTGGGTAGGCGGGGGTAAAATGGGTCCCAGCTGGAGCCATCTTTTCCACCCCCAGAGCCTCCTGGCCCCAGAACTATATTGACCTCTTGGGGACTAGGACCATGTGGTGTCCCTCTCCCCACAGACATGTGGCAGGGAGGAGCCAGCCAGATACTTGAAGGCAGCAGAGCAGCAGCTGGATGTGTTTGTGCTGCGAGTGACAGACACTGATGATGTCAGCAGACTGCTTTCTGCAGTTCTCATTCTGACCACACTCTGCCGTGTGCTGACTGGCTGTTTGCACCAACTCTCTCCCTTCATTTGACTTTCCAGATAGCTACGCCCCGCAGAACACCACACCACTGAGAAGATTTAAATACACAGATAAATAAATAAGCATGATTCATGGAAGTAACATGACATTTGCCATTGTCACGTTGCTCACTTGGCTTGTGTATTCTACCCTTTCCCCTGCCCGGTCTGTCTTGTTTATTTAGACTGTAGGCTCTTCAATGCAGGGACTGTCTCAGAGTGTGTCTATACGACAATGGAAGGTGTGATTGCAGCTCTCTTGGCCCCACACTATAGCTCTAATCTACCTAGCACATCGTGGGTTCTACAAGTCTGCCTGGTCCCCCTGGCTCCATATTCGGCTTGCTAGCCAGGACTGAAGCCCATGCCACTGCATCTTCGCTGCCGGTTTTAACTCCAAGGTTATGCCTACCAGAGCTGCAATCACACCTGCCATAGCAGTGTGGACATATCCTTATTCTGTGTTTGTACAGTGCTTAGCATATCGCTTGGTCCCCTGGGCACTTCCATGATATATACGTGTTTGAAATGACGGACACAGTCATTTACAAATGACACTTTATGCCGTCACTTCTGACACTCACTTTAAACTCTGGAATGCAAAAGCGATCAGCTGAATTCAAAGAAGACTTCTGGTGCTATGGAAATGTACACGTACTACAGCAAGCTTCCTTAAATCTCCTTCCACCACTCTCCCAGGTGACAGGATTATGCGTTTGGGGTGTTCCCTCTGATAACTATGTTCTGATTAGTCAAAACGGAATGATCTGGGCTAATGTTTGGAAGGTTCTGCCAGATGAAGCCTACTATGCAGGCTAGTGCACAGGACAACTAGATACCCAATCTTACAGAATAGAAATTCTGAGGTTGGAGGGGCTGATAGGTTGGGCACCTAGCCCACATCAAAGTGAGCAGGTTCAATTGTTAACAATATGCTTTAAAATAATCTCTATGTTTAAGGACATATTCTTGAGGCAGCCATATTCCTACTCAAGGCTTGGTCCCAATAAACTGATTTCCTTTAGATGCAATACTCCAGACCAGTTACCAGATATAGGCGCACAGCATGTAGTCTCCCTTTTATGGAAACCAATCCTTTAAGAAGAGCACTGACCCAACAAATAAGGAGCAGTGTCAACTGAGAAACTTGATAATGCTGTACTTCAGAACAAGCTTAGTGGTTCTGAACAAATAGAAGACCCATTTCTGGCATTGACAAAGTTTGACACACGGACTTTTAGACTTGAAGCTTTTGTTGTTACAGACCTAGGAAGTCTATGCACAGATATCTCTGGAATATTGGTTTTGGTTTCTAATGTGTACTATAGTATGTATTTATATTTCCCAGCATTATAATGTCATGGCTCTGTACTCATCAGTAAAAGACTATACCGCATATATTTGATCTGACAGGCTATGTCCCAGGCCACAAGAGACAGTTGCCATTGACCAGTTTTTGCAGAATAGGGTAAGCTATACAAATATGATTTACTCCACGACTATTTTGTGTATATGCTTTTTTCTCAATTTTATTCTTAAAGTATGCAGTGCTCATAAGCAAACTTTTCTGTCTAGATAAACTTTATTTATTTGGTCCTAAAATAAGACATCATAAAGCTGTATCGTTTATTTAGCAGCAGCCTGGATATTTTTGCTTCCTTAGATGAGTAGTTGAATTATATTTTGTACATTTCCATTACATAGATATACATACAATTATTATTCTAACAGAAAATTACAGTCTACTCACATTTCTATCATATATGAATAAGTGTTGCCAGAAAGTTCCATAAAATGTGAACATTCTGCTGTCTGGGTTCTTTGAATTCTGACTTAGAATGCAAACACCTAGAAAGTTGCAGTATTGGTCAGCTCATCATACCACAGACATTATGGTCATATATCCCACCTTGTCCAAGATTAGCCCCAGGAGATGGTAACAAACTGTTGCTTTAACATATGCCTCTGTTCTAGCCTTGTTTTCTCCCCAGTCTTTTCCAGCTTCACTAACATCTGTAGCTCCTGCCCTCTGATGCTCTTGTTCTCCAAAGTGGCCTACTCTATTGGTCAGGTCCTTGTTGGGGCAAGTCTTGACATAGTTTAATACAACCAAAGCAACCTCATTTTTTAAAAAATTGCTTTTTTATGTAATAAATTGTTACATTGTTTATGCTGGTAAACGTGAACCATAAATTGTTTGGGCTGCTAGTGTTATAATTAGTCAATTTATTAAACTAGTGTTAAAAAAAAATTGTAGCGAGAGGCGCTTAGGTGACCAACTTGGTCCAAAAGATAATT